TGGAGGGCAGGGAGCCGTCGCAGTACTTCCAGGTAGACCAGGCGGACCATCCCTGCTGGGAGAGGACCTTCTGGGCGCAACGCACGGAGTTGGTGATGTCGTCGGTCAACAGGGCGTTGCAGCTCAGGCCGCACTCGTTGTAGGAGAAGCGACCGCTGGGGGGAGCGCACCAGTAGTAGTCGTTGATCTGGAACAGACCGTAGTCGTTGGAGCCGTTGTAGTTCTCGGGTCCGACCACTCCGGTGCGGTAGGAGCTCTCGTGCTCGGCAATGCAGGTCCAGCGGGCCAGCTGATCGCGGGGAACGCCCAGATCGGACATCTCGCGGGCCAGGGAGCAACGGTCCATGGTGCGAGCGAAAGCGGGAGCGGCCAGAGCCAGGGCAACCAAAACGATGAAGGACTTCATGATGATTTCAATTATTGGAAACTGATGTCGATTGGTGCAAGGGTTCGAGCTTTTATAGCCGGAGAATCGGAGTACTATCTGCGCGCGGCCGAGGAGGGTTATCTTTGAGTAGTTACGAGTAGTATATCTGATGGGCATATGGCATATGGCAGCGGGGTAATCTGGACTCTTCGAATAAGATTCGAGTGCGAATCGGACCATTTTGATAATTCCATTGATAATTTCGATAATATGAATGGCGGAGAGGGAGTAATACGGAAATTCGATTGTGAATCCCCTGGCGGAGGGTATGACGTAGGTCCGCCGTCACTCTACGTTCACCTGCTCTGCATGTGGATGCAAATGTGAGGCAGCAGCTCCATTGTTTGGGGGGGACTGTTTGTCCGACCAATTGGCCTCTGATCTCTCTATTTTAGGGTCTCTTTGTATGCTGGTCCCCCTTTTTCGTGGCCCATTGGCTTCAATTAGTCTTGGGGGCTAACAAAAGCCCACTGCTCATGGCCCAATGCCTACTCGCAGTATTTTACTGCCTGCTGTTTACGAGTATTTCCCAAGTGCGGTGGTTGCTGGTTACTCAATCCCACCGATCGCCGATTGTTGCTCCATTTGTCAGGGGCCTGTCAAGGTGTCCAACATCTGGTTGTCCCATGATTGTTGTGCCTCTAATGTGGCATGTGGCCCTGCTCTGAGCTGCTGCTGTTGCAGTGTCCACAAGGAAGACAAAGGCCCGACAAGGAATGGCCAAAGTTGACCACAAAATCGCGTGAAGAAAGAAAGATTTCTTTTATTTTGGGCAGCACCGAAAGTAGATTGGCCATTTGCTGGGTTGCGTGTGACGCCCCACCTAACAGCAGGCGGCATGCCCCACACAACACACCACACCACACCACACCACATCACACTCTTTTGGGGCATGGCCAATGCATAAGCTGTTTAACAATTGTTAAATCAGACCGGAACAGATTTTTCTGTAGCCCGTACACTGGAATACGAATGCTCGCTATTTGCCCTGTGTCTGCGTCTATGACTGTAATTATACCCTTTTATGGGGTACTATGACCATGGGGAGGTGTTTACAAGGGCTCTGCATAGGGTATATTTACTATATTCTGGATATTCGAACCTTAAGTCTTGCTTCGCGTTGGAACGAATTATTCAATGAAAACTTTGCGTAAGTTATTTTTCATTTTCAAAATAAACTAAACCAAACCTTAGAACTCGCATTGTAATATGATTCTTCAATTCTGATGGAACGATCGTTCTTTAAGGGCATCCATAAGCCTGCAAATTCCACCCTGAAAGTCACATTTCTTTCTTGTTTATTTATATATTTAGTGTCTGCTCAGTTTCACCTCTTTCTGTTTGTCTTGTGCTGTTTCTTCTACATTTGTCTTTGGCTTTGTCTCTCTGTTGGACGGATGGACAAAGTGGCATTGTTAGTCGGATTGGGCATTGGGGATTGAGGATTGGGGGCTGCTTCGTCGAAGTCCATCGCAGTCTCGTGCCGCTGCCAATTCAATTTTCACTTCAATTTTCCATGGGGCTACAGAGGAATGTAATTTGTTTTTATGCTTTTATAACGAACACGCAGTCATAACGCCTTTATTTTATGGCCCGTTTTTTTTTCTTTATAATTTTTTTTTTTTTTTTTTTATTTTATCCATTGTCTGTGTTGCGTTCTTTTTTTTTAGCCCAAATCTCGGCGGAGAGTTTCTTTCTTTCTTGGGTGGCTATGGCTATGGCCAGTGGGCGTCACAGTTCAATGTCAGTGCTACTCGTACTCCCACACAAGCCCCGCACTGAGAGATTTACATATCTTGATTTTGGGCAGTAGCTAAAAGAAAGTTGGGGGGGCCCATTAGCATATGCATAGGTTCGAGCTTCGAGCAGGGGCAGAGGCAGAGGCTTGGGGCAGGGGTATCTGTATTTGTATGGGTATGGGTATGTGGCATGTGGGGATCCAATCTGTTGACCAAGTGGAAGAAGCCTTGGGCAGCTGGATCTGAATCTGACCCTCTGACTTAGATCGGGAACTAGTTTTCCATAGAGAGAGAGAGAAAGAGTGAGATATGACTCTTACCTATTTTGCCTATGCGGCTTCGGCTTCGGCTTCGGCTTCCGCGGTTACAGGTTCTTCTGCTGATGCTGGCGCTGGCGCTGCTAGTGCGTCTGTCCGAAATCCAATTGGGATCAAGTGCAGAGCAGTGCGGAGTACGGAGTACGGAGTACTGACACGAATCCAAATTGGGGCACTGCTGCTGATGCTGCTGCTTGCTGCTTGCTGCTGAACAGAACGTTCTTAAATTCTACGAGGCACACACACACTCTTCATATTTGTCGGATTGGGGCACAGTTGGAGCTGACTTTCATGCTGCACTTTGCGTCGTCATCGAACAAGAAACGTAAATTGAGAAGATTAGCAGCACAAGAGGAGAACCCGCTGAAGAGGCACAGCCGCAGCCACTGCCACTGCCCGGTGCTGCTGTTGTGGCTATTACTTGTGGAGTATTATTGTGGATGCTGCAATAGGCCACTAGATGCAGCAGGGGCATGCAGCATGGGGCATGGGGCCAGTTCTAGCCGAGAGTCGTACTCGTTTTACCGTTAGAATGCAATCTGCGCGCGCACTGTGGCACTCGCGATGCTGTTAGCCAGCGTTGGAGAGTCCGAGAGCGGGTCCAAGCGGGCGGGGAGGCAAGCACTAGCACCAGGCACTTCTACTTCTACTCGGATCCAATCAAACTTGTTTCTCCTCCCAAGAGAATACACAATAAGAAAAAATATATATCGCGTAATCGTCTGTGACACGTAACCAGAGGTGCTGGAGAGGTGGAGTTATGTGGGGGAGGAGGATCGAAGAATGACAAAGATTGACAGTATCCCTTTTGCGGATCGGTTTGGATCGGCTCGGATCGGCTTGAGTTTTTGCTTCCGCACTAAACTGAACCCACTAACGAGTGAACTTTGCTAGACCTCAAGAACAGCTAACAAAGCCATCGTTCATCGTTCATCGTTCACCGTTCGCCGTTCGACTTAATTGGTAACCAAAAGCGCTTCCGCTATCTGCGATCTGTACACACACACGTCCGAAGAGAAGAGAAGTCACGCACCGACTGATCGAGAGCCGGGCTCGTAGCTTAAACGAGACACGATCCCCTGTTTGGGCCTTCATTCGATCGAGAGCCGAGCCGAGCCGAGTCGAAGACCGAGCTTCATGTAGCCGAAGTAGCATTCGGCAAGTGCGATTTCTCTCTCTCTCTCTCTCTCTCTGCATATAAGACTTTGGCTGCAAGAAACAGTAGCAATGGAACCACTCCGACCTGATGAAGACTGTCAAGCGCCTTAGGGCATCTCCAAACACCCAACCACAAGCCGTGATTAGGCGGAAGAATGTGGAAACGAGCCCCAAACCACCAGTAAAAGATCACATATTGATAATCAACCGTTGGAAGCACAGCTTAGAAGCATCCCATTTAAAGAAGATCCACTGATTGGCGTCACAGCTATCAGAGATCGTAAGGAAAGCTATCGAGTACTTTAGTATTCAAGTAATAGAAGAAATTCGCATACCGCGTATAAGCATATTGCACGACTTGTCGATTTCCATAGCGTTGTTTACTTTAGTGTTGAGATATGGGGGGGGCTTCTACGCCGACACTTCAGGGAGCTTATTCAGTTAACTTTATCAGTGTTAATTAAAAGATGGCGATGGTCAATTTCTTGACTTGCTGACGAAGGGAACCCCTCCTATCAGCGAACATGCTCGAGATAACTCCCTTATCAGCGCAGAGTTCTGCTATAAAAGCTCGAACCCTTGCACCAATCGACATCAGTTTCCAATAATTGAAATCATCATGAAGTCCTTCATCGTTCTCTTTGCCCTGGCTCTGGCCGCTCCCGCTTTCGCTCGCACCATGGACCGTTGCTCCCTGGCCCGCGAGATGTCCGACTTGGGCGTTCCCCGCGATCAGCTGGCCCGCTGGACCTGCATTGCCGAGCACGAGAGCTCCTACCGCACCGGAGTGGTCGGACCCGAGAACTACAACGGCTCCAACGACTACGGTCTGTTCCAGATCAACGACTACTACTGGTGCGCTCCCCCCAGCGGTCGCTTCTCCTACAACGAGTGCGGCCTGAGCTGCAACGCCCTGTTGACCGACGACATCACCAACTCCGTGCGTTGCGCCCAGAAGGTCCTCTCCCAGCAGGGATGGTCTGCCTGGTCCACCTGGAAGTACTGCGACGGCTCCCTGCCCTCCATCAATGACTGCTTCTAAGCTCTGACTTCGACCCCTGAATAAAATAATTGCATATAACGAATCGAATATTCCTTCATTCCACTCTCTTTTAGAGTTGTTTAAATCAAGTAGTTTTTTAAGTTTAAATATTTCCTCAAAATCTACCGGAGCAGAGCTTGCCAGATTTTGACATGACATTCAATGCTTTGCTACACAAAATCTACTTTCCAACTACATGTCTTCGAGACATTTTACACAAATGTTTCAGCCTGAAAGTATGCAATGTTTCGAAGCCCATAGACGAATGCTGGCTGCTATGGTTCGGATGGGGGGAAGAGAAGTTTCGCTTAGCTTACCTTTCTTCGGCCAGCGACTTTCCCTCCTCGCACATGGAGTCCAGGGAATAGTCATCCGCAATGGAGCTGTAGACATTCGTCTGTGTCCCCGCTGTCTCCTCGTCGCAGTAGCTGCAGCTGCAGCACGAGTACTGGGAGCAGTAGGAGGAGGCATCCAAGTCGGTGATGCCAATGGAGCATTCCTCGTCCATCGGCCGTCGCTGGGCCTCCATCGGTATGGTCTCCCCCTTCTGGAGGGAATCACTGCGGGGTGAACGACTGGAAAGAGTCGGTAGATTAGGCAAACCTCAGAGAACGGAGAAAATGGAGTGTTACCTCTTGGTGCGTGTGTCCATTGTGTCCATGACCACGTTCCAGGTGCGGTGAATCAAGTAGAGCAGAAACAACACCCTCGACGTCTCTCCGTTGTGCGGTGGCGCGGCATTAGATGCATGTGGCCCACCACCGCCGCCGCCGCCCAGGCAGCTGCTGGACCCAAGCCTCGGTTCTTGTGGGGTCTGCCCGTGCACGTGCTCGTGGTCGTGGTCGTGGTCGTGGTGTGGGTGGCGTGCGGGAAGGGTCTTGGAGCGGTACTCGCTCTGGAGGCAGTACTCCTGCTTGTGCTGCTGGTATCGTCTGCGTGTGTTGAACCGCGAAGGCAGCTCGTCTCCAGCCACCACTCCACCTCCAGCTCCAGTCGCTGCGATGCGGTTGCCCATTACGACGCAGTCGCTGATCGGCGTCTGTCAGGCATTGCCTAATGTGACATGGACAAGCACAACATATGTTAGAGCAGGGGGGCAGAGCAGAGGATGATGTCTGCTTGGATCGCATCCAAGAGTATTAGCGCTGACACAATTCCTAACCAGTTTGGGTTCCAGTTCCCCCACCAGCCTATTGCCTGGCAAGCGATTGGCAAGCGAAAAAAAAGTGAAGTGCCCGATGGAATTGGGTCAGCGGCGAGTTCTCGATGGATGGTAACGAGGTCGGCGAGAACAAATGCCTGTAGATGGTCTGGACGTGATCGGGGCTCCTACTCATGCCCGGTCCTCACGAGCAACTTGTAATTATGATAAACTATCTATACATTGGCAAAATGATGGATTGCGTGGACCAGTTTCGGCCAGAACCTGGCAAGCTGGACAACATGATTGCTCCTCCGGCGGGGCGGGGCGGGGCGGGGCGTGGAGGCTGTCAGTAAGTGACACTTTTGATGGCTGAAATCTATCTGCTGAGCGGCATCTAGGCCACGCATTCGGCACACTCATTAGGTAGGCCATTCATCAAATTATCGCCCTTGCACGATTTGTCTCTCCCGGCACTTGCGGCTTGACCCGATCCACACCCCGAATGGGACCACATTAGAGCCTCCACTGGGTGGGAGCAGAGGAACCGCAGTCAGTGGCTTATCTGCAAGCGTAGCTAAACGTGACCGCTAAATGACAGAACACGACAAAACACGATTACAGAGCAGAACCAGAATAGAACAGCGCTAAACAGAACCTAGAACTAGAAGCAGAACCAGAACCACGGGCACTATCAGTGATGGGTCGCCCTCACCGCCGTCACCGTCGCCACCTACCACAGTGAAAGGTGCTCCACAGGGATCGTAAAAATATTTACAGCAATCGATCGCTAAATCTCGGGCATCAATTAGTCGGGAATAGATCTGAGATTAGGTATAAATTATAGATCAACTTGGAAGAACAACTTTCATGCTGTCAACGAATATGGAAATTGGGAGTCAGAAATGGGAACACACCAAATGGGAACCTGTTCTCTGAGGGCCCTGCAGAACCTTTTGTGACCAGTGAAAGTGTTGATAAAGAAGTGGAAAGTTTTTGTCGGCGGGCACTTCACTGGAAAAGTTGGTAGGGTAGGCTCTGTCCGTTTCGTATCGTTTCGTTTGGGTCGTTAAATGCAGGTACTACTGTACTTAAAAGTTGCACCATACAAAATACCACCAAGACATGCGGTTTGAGCGTGTGTGTGGGAAAAGTGGAAGAGCTTGAGATCTTGGCAATAATTAAACCAAGAGTTTATCTTATCACAGAGAAGTCACCCTGTACGGGCAGCAATGTTAACTATAGGACGAACCGCAGCCCCGGCACTCAACCACCCAAGCACTGAAATGCGAAGCGGCAGCCGTGTACGCCTCACAGTCGCGTTTCCAACGATCTAGAGAGCGGTACACTCCAGTGGAGAACCCGAACCAGAGCCAGAGCCAGAGCAACAGAAGCAGTAGCAGTAGCAGTAGCAGTAGCTAGAAAGGAATACGAATACAAATAGGAATACTCGTAACTAGGACACACCTTGGGGCGTCAGCATGAGCCAGCAACAGACACAGAACCAGCTGGAGACAGAGCAGCTGCTCTTCGAGGAGAAGCCGCTCCACGTGCCCCCATTGTCGGAGCTGCAGAATGGTGAGCGAGGGGGAGAGATCAGATCTTAAAGATTACTACGTGCCACCGCCCGATGCGGTGCCATGTGCAAATGACCTTCAGAACTGTGTCGAACTTTCCATAGCCGGTTTTCTGTAGAGTTTTTCCATTTCGGCTCTCTGTTCTGCTTCTCTGTGTGTTTTTTTGTTCTTTGTTTTCGTACAACGCCTCTAAACAGAACACACAAAACATATGACTGGGGCGGAGAGCTTCGGGCAGCTTTTGTACGCCAAAAGCCGTTTCGTTTCGTTTGTTTAGATGAATTGGAAGATAAAGCTTTTGGTTTAATGGGCGCCTCTCTCTTTCTCTCTCTCTCTCTCTCTCTCTCTGTGTCGTTTCGCAGTCATACAGGGTGCTTTGAGTGGAAACTTCGCGCAGGTGGAGGTGAGTGTGGGTGCCTGCCCGGATCTGAAGGCGGCACGGTTTGGATTGGTGGAAAGCGGACTGGGGGGCAGGCCCACGCTGCTGGAGGCAGGTGGCCCACCCTTCTTGCTGCCCCTCGTGCAGCGGAATAAGCTGTACAACATCAAGGAGATCACGCGGAAGATCCAGGGACCCGGCAAGATCTTCGCTGTGGGCGCCGGTGCTGGACCCTGGCCCATCCGCAGCTCCAACTGCGAGGGCATCTTCAATCTGTCGGTGAGCGAGAGCGGCGAGCTGACGAACGGCAGCTACACGGCCACGGTGCGGGGAGAGCAGGAGGAGTGTGTGCTGGAGAAGATCCCCCACACAGAGCCCCGCTGTGCCCTGCTGCTGAACTTGTTCCTCAGCCAGGGAGCGCCTGGACAAGTGCTGAAGATCAGCGCCAAGCAGCGCACCGGCGAACAGAACTTCATCGAGTGCATCCGCAAGGGGCTGGAGGAGCACTACGGCGACCAGGTGGTGGGCCTGGGCGGCATATTCCTGATCAAGAAGGGCGCCGCCCACCAGCACGTGATGCGGGACTTCAGCAAGACGCCCATCCACACCGACGAGGAGGTCAACGAGTGGCTCAAGTTCTACGAGATGCCGGCCCAACTCAATGCCGTGGGCACCCTGGTGACCAAGGAGCACGACCTCGACCTGCGCCTCCAGCACTTCCACTCATTCTCGTTCAGCAACTGGGGCGGCCACTACCACTACGACACTACTCCCGATATCGTGGAGTACGAGGCGTATCTCAATGTCGCCGAGCGGGTGGTGAGGGTGGACAAGCCCCTGTCCACCCACAAAGTGGGAAGAGATTAGATCTTATCTGATCTTCTCTTTGTCTGTATAAGTATCCGACTTTTCCATTGCCTAATCCGTCATAAATAAATGCTCATAAGAAGAAGATAGGGCCATATATTTAGACAGCATATTCCAAAGGTGATTCCCACAGACATTTCTCTCTTTTGGAGTACACTCGTGGCCATGTGGCCACCCCAGACAGAGAAACAGTGAGGAGGAGGATTAGCGCTGTAGCTGAGAGTTATCTCTGGCCCACTGTCTTCAGCTGCCAAATCCATCATAAATATTAATGAGCGGAGGCCAAAAATAAATGTGTGGCTTAGAAGTTGGTTTCGGTTTCCGTCTGCGATCTCTCGAATGGCCCTGTGGCACGATGGTTGGTTGCCTATCATTTGTGGAGCTGGCCGCAGGTGCCGACGGGCTGGCTTTATGTAATTGCCAAAAATTAGAGCCGCAGCAGCAACAGCTTTCTTTGCCATGCAAATCGATCGGCAAATGATCTCGATGAGTGCTCGAACGAGATCTTCTAGGCCGGAATGCCTGCTGGTGGCTGGTGGCTGGTGGCTGGTGGGGTTCTGGTTCTGGGTCTGGGTCTGGGGCTGCGGCTTCATGCCTGGCCTAATGAGAGACTCCACACGGCAGGCAGACAGCAGAGAGCTAAGCAGGCCGTAAATAATGCCCCGAACATGCAGCAATCTGTGTTTTTCTTTTTGCACCGCTGGCCATTAATTATTTAATAACTTTGATTCATGCAGAGCTCCAACTTCGACTGCGACTGCGGTTGCAATTGCAATTGCGAGTGCGAGTCCATTAAAACGTTTTATGGATTGCCTCAAAGAAGAAATCCAATCGAAAAACAGAAACAGAAACAGAAACTGGAATCCCCCGCCCGATTGTTGTGACAGTTACAAATCGCAGTTGATCGGCGCATCGATCATGCCGACAGACTTACCCACTGGGACCCGCGGAGGGAGAGACTCTCCCAGAAATGTTGTGATCGCGGCCGATTGCTTCTATTCTTCTTCTGACGTTGCCTGCACCTCTTAACGGGTCTCTAATATTTGCATTTAAATATTTATTATTCGGATTCTGGCAACCTTTTTCGAAACTCGCACACAATCACAAAACATACAGCACCAGCGATCGACGGAGAACGGACGACCGGCGATTGATCCAATTTAATCTTCCAGCAAGCGCGCAGAGAAATGCAAATGCGATTTCTTCGTCCCACGAAAAAGAAAATCTCTTTTTGTTATCGTTACCGTTGTGGTTGTGGTTGTGGCTCTGGCCGTGGTGGCTCTTGTAACCGTTTTTGTGGCTCTGGCATACACTCGCATTTATTCATATTTTAAACACAACATTAGCACTTTTTATTAGCCGCCTTTTGCTTTGATTGACTCGACTCGACTCGACTCGATCCGACTACGACTACGACTACGGGTACGACTTGAGGCTTGGGCTTGGACTGGGTCTGGGTCTGGGTCTGGTTGTACGACGACTTGGCGCGTCTGATCGGCTGAAACGCGAGTTGCAGACTGAATGAAGTCTGCGATCAGATGGCACGGCTACCGCCGCTGGTTGGAATCGCTTTTCATATGGGCTTCCAGGCGCGTAGCCAGCGAACTTGTTTCGGGGGGAGAGCCAGCTCCAACGACAGTTTATAAATTGTATTAATGCTGATTCTGGCAGCTCGGTGAATCCTTAATAGAGAGTTCTCCTAGCACCTCCTCCCCTCACTCCCCCCATGCACATATCATTTGACAACTCATTTCCCCCACAAATTTATGCACTGTCGCACCACTGTCGGATCAAGTTTTGGTTGCTCTGCTTTACAAGAGTTTTTAAATTGAAATTGTCGTATAATCTCTAATGGGCCGTATTTGTTGATAGCCAGTGAAGTTAAGTGGCCAAGAGACCGGGCCAGCAAGTGCATAAACACTTGCCGCAGAGGTTTTTCCAACCCCGAAACCTGTTCCCACACAAAGTCGCTGCCAAGGCTGCTGCCTGCTGCCTGCTGCATCCATTATCCATTTCCATTAGCAGCGACACAACGCAGCAACTTTGCTCCTGTTCGAGCCCAAAGGCAGGCCAAAGCTGGCCCCCCTAAAAACCGTTCAATGAACCGCCTCCAAAGAAAGTAGCTGGCGCGCGAGGCTGTCTTCATAAAAATTGCATAATGATTGATGCCCAGGGGGCTTGCCAGGCCTAGCTCTTGTATCGCACATTATAATTACGCTCTAATTTGTTCTCCTAGTCTTGGGCGTTTCTATTAATGAGAGATTGTTTTCGCTTTGAAAATTCTCAAAGAAAACTGAAACCCTTTTCACATACGATGATCTCAATTTCCGGCTATTTTCAGGAATCTCTGTTGATTTGGGAATCGATTTATATGCTTTGCGAAATTATTCGAGAGATTTCATTGAACAAGGATATGTTTTTGATCACCAAAAGTCGTGGAACATCGCCTGGTCTGGTCCAGAATGTGGTAAGTGTGTAGTATGCCTTTCCTCTCATTTTATTGTGCTGTATTATTATATATTTATTTATTATTCCATTTTGGTATCAGTATTACATCGGGTGCGAATGCAGCTGTGCGACCTACATACATGAAGATCTCACCCAGGAGCCCGGAAATCAAAGACGAGGCCGACTGGTGAGGTACGGCATAGCTGAAGGACAATCTTCAATCTGAAAAATGTATGCGCATCGCAGAGAACAAAAATGTAAGTTAAAAACTAGCTTTAAAAAATGAAATAAAAACGTATAGATAAATATTGAACTCTTAATGACGAATTTAAGGGACAGCAACGGTAAAAAGACAATATGCTTGATTGCCAAATGTTCCCGAAACACGAGGACAAACACGTCCAGATCGGACGAGAAACGTCAATATCGTTATTTATTCAGTCAAATATATTAAAAAACCAAGGCTGAATTTTGGGGGCTAGCATTATTTAAAAAAAAAGAGTATGGCATACTTTCAGGCTGATTTATTAACGCTTATATTACGAAATTGCGTAAAAAGTCATTTACTTTCTGAAGTCCTGATGGATGCAAAGGATACGGGATATTCTTCCGCTCATGAGGACACGTATCACATCTGGATACTTGCCTGCCAACCTGAATAAACAGGATTGGGGAATTTTTCCTCGTGAGCAAAGGTGTGGCATGCCTTGATCGGACAAGAAATGGCGCAGACAACAACAAAAACTGACTTGTTGTTGTTGTTGTCAATTTATGTTGTACATACAAGAAAAAAATTGTTATGCAACAACAGCATCAATTGACATCAAGGCAATTTTGTTTTGTTGTTCCTGCGCTATTTGTGGGTCAATCGGGACGTGCTACGTCTGCCTGTGATCAGAAAAATGTCCTTGATTTGATAGTCCTTATCCTTTTTGCTCCAATATTTTTGGTCCGGTCGACGGCTGGCTGCAAAGGCTTCCTGTGGCCGATAGTACATCCTTGACTTAATGGACTCCGCTTGCCAAACACCAAGGATATCAAGGATCAAAATATTCAATATTTCCGCTATTCGCCATAACAACATCACCGATGGAGTCATTATCAAGAACCTTTACTGCAATCTAATATTTCGTTTTCTCAGTTATTTGTGACGTTTGATGTGATTCCGTGATTAGAAAAATATCTTTGATATCCTTGATCATGAATAGAAAAAATATAAGCCTTTTCTTTACGCTGTTCTTTCTATTCTGTTATTTTTCCGCTCTTTGGGTATTTTTATTTTTAACGCTGTCGCAATAAAACAGTAACAAGGATCCTGCGCAGTCTGTGGGATTTGGGAAAACGGTTTCGTTCTAGAGGAATTTGGAGATATAGGGACGCGGATAAATAAATGGATACAATGCGAGGATAGATAGAACGTAAGGCTAAGCGACCCCGATGGGAATGCACACACGTCAACATATGTAGATGTATAATTGGGTTTGTCGCAGTAAAACAAATGCGGTTGTCTTCGGTTGGACCTCATCGTCGTCGTGGTACCATTAAAATGCAAAGGCAAACACCGCTAGGCGTGTTTGGCAATTGAGAGCCTGTTCTCGACGTAGTTATTATGTGTGCTGTGGTGTTTATTGGTAACGAGCCAGAGAGGGCAAGGGCACATAGCCAGCAGAAAGGGTGGGAGAACGTCTGATTTGAGAGCTAGAAAAGGTGTTGCGGCCATTAGAAATAAAACAGCTGTCAATTTGGTTGTAAACTCACCGCCAAAGGAGCGAGCCGCCACGCTTCAGCTCCTTTCGTGCCTGCAAATCGTTCCAGCAGTCCACCCAATTTGCGTAAGCGGGCATGATGGGCGGTTGGCCTGCCATCAGACGCGACCCACTCACAGAAGAGCAAGTCGAAACCACTAGCAAAGGATACAGCAGACTAGAAAAGCCAAACTGCATCATGGCACCGTTGTACTGCCTGGCCAGCTTGTCCTTGATACAATATTTGTTAATAATATAGATCGTGGAGCTGCTGAGTACCAGACAGGCCACATCGGCCAAGAGCTTGGGCACCAGTCCAGCAAAAAAGCCACCAATTCCCTCAGTCTTCCAGATCTCCACAATCGAACCGGCTATTGATCTATAGAGAGTCTCGCGGCCAATAAACTGGGCCATCATCCGCACCGAGATCACGTGGAAAGGATGCGAAGCAACAATTCCGCTCACAGTCACGACAATATCACGCTTCAGATTCAACTTGAACTGAGCATACCTAAAGCAAATGAGACGAAAAATCAGACGAGAGCTGCAGGATAGTGGTGAATAAACACTTGCTCGTCTTCCTCCGACAGATCAGTGTCGTCCTTGGTTTCCTCCAACTGATTCAGTCCCAGTTTGTCGGCCACTCGCTCGCTCACCACCATCGCCACGACGGATCCAACCAGCTTAGGAGCCAGGCCGCGGTAGCAACCATAGAACCCATCGATTCTCTTGATGTGACCGGCTGCAAAGGTAAAAGCGATATCAATACCGCCCGGCAAGCGAGAACTTTGTACCCACTGTATTGGAAAATGTTCGGCAGCTTCAGGATTGGTTTGCCCGTCCACGACGTGCTGGGAATGGCCGCAATGGGCTCATATCCCAGCTGAATCAGCGTCTTGGAGTACTCAAATGGATGCAGGGCAGCGCTAACACCCAGCCGCATGCCAAATTTAATCCAACTATTCACCTCCGTATCCTCATTTCGTGCAAAAGGTCCGTCCATTATATATACTTTTTGCTATGCTTCTGCCTTTAGAGTAGCCGCGCTGAATTTGGTGTGTGCTGTGCTAAACAAATACGGAGCAATTTATCAATTAACCGGCTCTGCAAATGCAAAACTTGATTTTTTGATTACAAAATTATGACAGAAACAGCCTTGCTTACTTTACTTATCGGTATCGATGAACAGCTGTTTCAGTTTTCGCGTACTTTTATATCGATTGCTGATTAAATATATATCGATATGTAGTTGACATGAAGCCAAGGTGTAGATACCATGTAACAAATTTTTTATTTTAGCATAGCTTATTTTATAAGAAATTTATTGATGAATTATTTTTTTAATGGCTGAGAATCTTTGCTTGCTAGTAATATTAAACGGAACATCAAAATCGAGCAAAATTTTCAGCAACATGGGGAAATGAATTAGCAGTATTGTTGTGAAACATTGGCACGGAATGAGCAACAATCTGCATACCTTGGGAAAATGAATATTATCGAACAGATGTAATATTTGTAATCTTAGGCTCTAATTAATGCAGAAGCTGCTCAGTCTCTGTTTTAAAGATAATAACGAACTTTTGCAGCTCATGGGTACCAATAATAGATCAGAACCGGGATAAATGAATATATATAATACAAAACATATGTATTAATAGGTAAAAAACATTTCAATCTAAAAAAAATGCAGTATTAATGATTCAGTGGAGCTTGGAATAACAAATTTAACATCAATTAAAGGAAATACGGTATACACAAGCCCATACGCATAGAAGAAACTTGGCTGACCAGCAACAATGACGTCACATTTAGTCAACATGTACGTTTTGTGCTTTGGCCGTTTTTGTTTGAACCTTTTTATGTAAACAATGCAATGAAAAAGAGTTCTGAAAACTAGCCAATCGTGTAGAAAGTGGATTCATCAATCGGATTAAATGATGTGTTTAGTGCTGAGAATGCTAACTAGCTAGTAATATTAAACCGAATATCAAAATCGCAAAATATCAACGCATTTTGTCGTGTCTTTCAGTATATTTTGGTAATGACACGGTATATTTTGGTATATTTCTGAGGTTACACTGGTCATGTGGGTGGCGTTGGGAAGATGCACAGATATTTACTCAATATTTCTTACATAGGCACGACTTTTCGGTGAGCAATTTGTTAACTGGAAGCTATTTAGAGCCATGAACAACAACTATTATTTTGTGCAGTGGTATACAGAAGACCATAAACAAGTTGGAGCAGCAGAGTCTGGACACCAATTCAGTGCAAGGCTGCCTGGAGCTAGCACTAAAAGTTTTTCATCCCACCAACGATATACAGACAGTGCTGTCCAGTCGGTAAGGGTCTCGAATGGTCAAGTGGTTATTGGCATCAGCTAATCAAGTCATTCTCAGCACAGACGCGGGTGTTCATGCCTTGCACTCGACGGTGCACGTGGACTTGGAGCGCCGGGATGGCCAACCTTATGATACCACAACGCTAACGGGAGTTCTCAATAGGACTCTGGACAAGCAGCGCCTTCCCATCCGCGTGCTCAGCAGCCAAGTGGTGCCAGATACCTTCCACTGTCGCTACCACGCCATAGGGAGAACCTACTTGTATCGCTTTGCCGTCGCGCGTAATCCCCTGTTCGCCGACGGGAAGCTTCGGAAAAAAGGATTCGAGGCATTTGTGCCCGTGGAGGAAATCGATCGCTGTTATTTTTTGCTGTAAAGTATTCCGCTTGTAGAGTTTCCCCTACCGTGCGGTAACCCTAATTCCTTCTTCCGCATAGGGCCCCGAGCTTCGACATTGAACGCATCCGAAAAGCGGCTCGCATGTTTATCGGCGTGCACGACTTTCGCACATTCATGAGCGTCAGCCGGCAGAAGAGCCCCAGTCGTGACCATCCCATGTTCACCCTGCGCAAAATCGACGAGATCAATATACGTCCTGGACGAACGCTTTCCCTGCCGTCGAACGCGACTCTGGCTGCGGAAACCTACGACTATTGGGACATAGAGATCAAGGCCAAATCGTTTCTCTACAAGCAAGTGAGGCGGATTGTGGGGTCACTGCTTTCCCTGGGCAGCGACCGCATTGACGAGAAGTGTATCTACCAAATGCTGACCATACCCTCTAAGCACTCGTGGAATTCCCGAGTAGTTCCAGCGCCAGCCTGCGGACTTTACCTGTGCCGTGTGCACTACAGAGATACTACGGACAACTAAGCTAAGTCCCAATCATGATACTGCTGTATGAGCTGCAGAAGCGGCTGGCCAATCTGAGGCCCACCACCACCGTCGTCACCACACCCACCGGCGCACGTTTCATCGAGCGGCGCAGGTCCTCTGGAAGCGAGGACGGAACAGACACGACTCCCCAACAGCTGGAGGCACGCCAGTATGGCTTTGTCGTGGACACAAAACCTGACGCCGTGCCCGCATGCATTCTCAGTGAATTCCTCTATCTGGGCTCCCAAGATGCCGTCAGTGCGGAAAACATATTGAAGTACAAACTGACGCACATCCTCAGCGTTGGCATAGAAACCCCCAATATCGAGCTTCCAACGTCGGTCAAGTGCAAGTACTTACCCTGTCTGGATCTTCCCGAAACGGATCTGCTGCGGTACGTGCTGCCCGTCTCCATTGACTTCATCGAGGAGGCTCGCAAGTCCCGCGGCTGCATTCTAGTCCACTGCAACGCGGGCGTCTCGCGTTCTGCCTCTGTTGTCATTGGCTACTTGATGCAGCGGCGGGACATGTGCTACGAGGATGCCTACAACCTGGTCAAGTCCTGGCGGCCCTGCATCCAACCCAATGCAGGCTTCATGCAGCAGTTGAAGAAGTCTAGCAAAACATAAATATAAATTAGGCTAAGTCGGTGTCCGCTTACCTGCATTTTGGCTTTAACTGTGTTTAGTGTGTTACTATTAGCACAATAAAGTGTTAACACGTATTTACCATTACAAAAGAACTCCAAATCCCATGCCCCACAGAGACAATGCACAGACACGACACGGATACAGGACATCAAAAACATTTAAACATTAACAAAACATCTCTATTTGGTTAGTTGACAACAATTTGGTACGGGATGTTCAAAATACGTTACACAAGATTCTTAAATGGATTGCACCCCCGATTCTCCTCACTCAACACTCTACACTCCACCTCCACTCCATTCGCTCACCTCAATCTAAACGAGGGTGCCCAAGTGCTGCAGATCTAGCGCTGAGCGCAGTGGAGCTCCACAGATGCTGTCCAGTGCGACTGCTCCTCTAGGGTCAATCTCTCCACTGTAGGCATCCACGGCTGGTGAGGCAGGGGTGTGTCCTATTCTGCTCGTGGTAAACATCTGCTTCGTTAAGCCCTTGTCGGCCACATGTCGAACATTCAAGTTCTTTTCGGCCAATTCCTGGGGGGACAGGCAGCGATTGTGTTTGTGGCGCAGTCTGTTTCTATGATTTACCCCTGCTTCTAATACTGGAGGCAACTTAACGGATATACGGAGATCATCTACGTCACGCATTGAAGATTGGATTAATTTCGCCACTTTGTCTGCCTCGGTGACCTCTTCGCCGCTGTCGACGGCTTCTGTGGCTGTAGCTGTAGCTGTAGGTTCTCTATGAGTATCATTGTCGGCAACGGTAACGGTTGTCTCGAATTCGCGACCCAAGCATTCGAGCACTCCCAGTTTGGCTTTTAACTGCTCGTTGGCCGTGAATAATTTGCGTTCCACTCGGTGGATATCCGCTACCTGTGTCGACAGCTCTGTATCGAGTCGATCGATTTGCAGCATCACCTCACTCTTTGTCTGATACGCCCGCTTCACCTGTTGCCTACGCACCTTGGCGTGCAGACTCAGTAGCAGCTCCTCCTCCCGCTGGAGCTGTTTGTTAACGGCATGGATCTTTTCCAGCCAATACACTCGGATCTCGTCCTTGACCTCAACATCGTTCGGTGTCCAAGCAGGATCTGCTCTATAATCATCTTCTGTGAATATAATTCCATTATATTTGCAGTATTGATAGCTGATATTTGGAGATCGTTACCTGTACATAAGGGAACATCCTCTGCATCTGGTGGTTCATCTTCATCGACTTCTTCTATTGTCGGGCTGTTGTCCTGCGGCTCGTCCAAGTCCTTCAAATACGTCTCGAGGAGGTAATTCTTACCCAACTCACGCTCCCGCACTCGGTGCTTCTCCTCTTCGATTTTCAATATTTGTCGATCTTTTTCGCTTTGTGAGGAGGAAGAGGATTCGCATAAATATAATGGACATTATTTGCAAAGGCGATTCCTTGCGTATAACTTACTGCAACATGGACATCTGCTGGAGTATAGTCTCGTCCTGGGCCAGAATGATGGTCAGCAGGCTCTCGTTCGGAGTCATGTGGTAGTTCCTCTGCTGCAATTTCCGGCTTCTCTTTGGTTGCTTGGGGTTGTTGGCTCTCGTCTCTCCCCCCCAGTGATCTGTAGCCATCGGCACCTTGAGAGAGGGCAGCACTTTGTGCTTTCCCCTTCTTCGAAAGCGCATGCTACGAGAACTGTCCACGGGACTGCCCATTCCACTGTCCTTGTCCGTTGTCGGGGTGTGTTTTCTTGCCGATGAAGTGGCTAAATGGCGTAGCTGTAGCTGACACTAAAGGGAAATATATCGAGAGGGTGAACAGAGTTTAATTTAAGGTGCCTTGGTGCCCTTACTTCCTCCTTTGGCGAGGCATGACGATTGCTGATAACATCAAACAGTCTGGCACTGCCATCCAGATACTCCTCGTAGTGCCGCTGCTTCTGCACAATCGCGTACTCCTGCATCGCTGGCGGGGACTGTTTGATGTTCGCTGTTGGCTTCAGGGCATCTGCAGTTGGCGGCCCTGCATCCTGAGGATCGTCTTGGTAGCTGAGCAGTGCGCAGATTAGATCCGTGCAGGTTGTGTTGGCATCCACGCCCGATATCCAGTGCTCCTCGCCATCAATCCAAATCGACAGATTGTCCGCCATCGAGGAGACCGATTCTATATCCTCCCCCGCAGCGTCGTCTGCTGCTGCGGGCATTATCTTCTGGTGCTCGAACCGTGCAAACGTTGCCTGGTCAGTGGTCTGCATTATGTCTGCTGGCATTCTGTGGAAATGGCACACAACAGAGAAGTGGGTTAGCTACCATCATCCCATCCCCTCCCGTTCCGCTCCGTCCGGCGTATAATAATATGCAAATAACTTATTGTATAAGACGGGGCGAGCATTTAACGGTTTTGCACAAAGCGACGAAAACATTTGTTACATCTAATTTATTCAGTCACTCTTTTGAGATAGCCTCAGTCCCCACTGCCCACTACCCTACCCTCCACTCTCCGCCCGATAGTACTCCGATTGAGAATGGGCTAACAGTTATTCTCTTCCCCACACAAACAATAGTCTCCGTTCCAGAGCCAGAGCCTGAGCTGGACGCTCGGCTCGCTCTCTTTGGCTGTTAACAACGTGTCAAGATCTGTAATTAGGCAATTATGCAAATCTCTCGACAATCTGCAGTGCAGTGGCGAGCCCGTAACTGTCGCTGCTCATAACATGTGTACATTTCTGCTGACAAGATCGGTAACAAACTAGAACAAGCCACTGCGCGCGGGTCTCCTCTCCTTTCCATGCCGTTACATGTGCCACCATGTAAGTGCCACACCGCTGATGAGTCATGGAGAAGGAGATGGAGTACGGGTACGGGAACGGATACGAGTATGATTACGAGCGTGCTGCACCACAGTTTCTGTTTTGTTACAGTTTCAACTTTCTCGCGTTACACCTGTCTCGACGGTCGACGGCGGAATCCCCTCTGCGGGAATGTGGCTTACCAGCGTGCTCAACGTCATCGCTACAACTGAGGCACGAGGCGGCCGAGCGCCGAGCTTAAAAAGAAACTCCATCCAGTAAGTAAGAGCGGACCAGAGACCAGAGACCTGTCGAAACGAAGTGGCGCTCGGTTGGCAAAAGAAGCCAAGAGCAGCGCTAACAGTGGCGAAAACACACACACACACACACAGTACACAGTGGCCTGTGTGGCAAGCAAGACAAGACACCATGTTAACTCTGGGACTGACGATCTGAGCCGAACCGAACCGAACAGATCCACTCTGTGGCTGTGTAGCTGTGGCTGCTCCGACTAACAGTGGAGTGTGCGATGCGAGTGGCTGGTATGAAGAAACACTTTTTGTTTTTCTCTTTGAATTTTACGGTATCGTGGGTAAGTTTTATAACTTGTCCCGGCCACTCCCCTTGTACGAGAGTAGTTGATGCTATGCAGAGATATTCTTGGCCGCCAGCCAGTCCACTCCAAGCCGAACCTGTGACTGGCTTTGCTTTCGCTACTCTACTCTACTCTACTCTAGTCTATTATGAAAGACAGAGTTTTACTATAATTACAAAGTGTATACGTATACTCAGACCAAGTGAAGAGTTTGTCTTCAACAAAGCGATAAACGATGCCGAGATTCAGATTCAGAGACCTGGGTGCCTGTGGAGCAGCAAAACTCTACTGAACTCTACTATAACTTCACCACACTTAATTGCTAGCTACCCAAAACCCCGGCAGCCCAGCAGCTAGTCGATTATCATTTCAGTCCAAACAAGTATAGACGTCTCTGTCTCCATTCCACTCCACTCCACTTCACTCTACCTCTACTCCACTCAGAAGTAAACTAATTTCCGAATACTCTGTACCTACAGCTTAGACCGCAGACTGGGAAATCTTTCGTCTTCCTCTGCGTCTTCGTCTACTCGTATCATCGTTCATCTTTCGTGGTTATTGTTTGGGTCATTAAGTCCACAATTCTCAGCCAATTTAGTCTACAAAAACCTCAAAATGGAAATCTCTTTCAACTCTCTAATCTGTCCAAATATGTCTGCAGTAGTTTTGGGCAAGTTTCCACAGAAGTAGAAGAGAGTATTGCATGATCAAATCAAAGGATCTATGATGCTAATAGTATAGTATGTAATGTACTCGTATAAGTGTATAATGCTGCACTGGCTGCAAACCCATTTGTCGATTCAATTTCTGTAGCCTGTGCAATTTGTGTTTTCTTTTGATAGTTGGCTTGGCTTGGCTTTTGGCCTTTCATTTTCATGAGTTACAGTTGAGGTTCTTCGATTTGGATACCTAAAAACAACACTAAACCGGTATGAATTGCATGCATAATGCATAAATGTGTGCCACTTAATGCATTTATGTGCATTGCATACACCATACACCATACACCATGTACCATACATACATAAGTACATACATATGTATGTTTGTATGTAGAGCCTGTTACAGGCTTGGTGTCTGTCTTTCGCAGCCTATAAGTCAAGCGTTTTGTAGGTGCGACCAAATCCAAATCCAAATCCACAACCAAAACCCATTTAACTGCTAAATAAGGCTACGTACTTGTCAGAGTGCGACGCAACACCTGCCTGGCCTGGCCTGGCTCCATGAGTGCCAAGTGTCTGTCTACGAGTATTACCAAATTTGATTAGCGAATTGCTCTTGTAATCGAGCGGATCAATTCGATATGAATTTGAATAACTCACCCAAAATCTGTGCGATGTGTCGTAAGTGTCGTCGTCGGCTGAGCCATTCCATTTGTGTAAAACAAGTTTGGATCAATTGCAACAAAGCTGGCGGCGGCATGGCAAATGTTCTAAGGGTTCCCCCGTATCGGGTTCCATTCCATCCTCTGGGGTCGTCATTGTTTCGGTCAGGCACAGGTGAACATGCAGACGTTCGGTCTGTCTGGCGCAACCAGCCACACAAAGAAAGGCGTAACATTAATCGTATCCTGTAAGCTGTGCCAGAGATATATACATATGTACAATATGTGTGTGTATATGTGTGTGACTGTATGGGAACCAGTAACAATAATAAAATCAAAAGCTGCGAGGCTACTCAGTTGGCATATTACGACATCTGGCATCTGGCCTGAAGCTCCCAGCTCTCGACTCCAGCTGAATCTCTCGTTGCCAGCAAACTGCTCACAAAAACGCGCTCAAAACAAGTTGTTCATTTAGTTTGGCTTTTTCAGCTACAGCCAGCGCCACGGCCTGGTGCATGAACCGATGACGACTGCTTCAGTCGCTAAACAAACGTCAGCGTGCGCGGTTTAGATCTTGGCCAAGTGACCGCGCGCTCAATTGAACTTCGGCACTGAACGGATCGCTTCTGATCGGTTTGGATCGATTCTCCGATCTGGCAAACACAAAATAGCTTTGTGTGTGTGTGTGTGTGTATAAAAGTACGTATGTGCGCTAATCATTTTTTTTTGGGTTGCACCCACAACGATTTAAGAGGCAACAATCGGATGTAGATTGGCTGACAACAAAGAGCTGCTGTGACTCTGTTTGGCCTGGCTTCCCATGGGCAAATTACGTCAATTTCCTCTCGATTTCACCCAATTGCCAATTTACGAGTATTGTCGTCAGCCAATGCACCAAAGTGGTTTGGCTCCCCGGTTATGGCTGTTGCAGCTTACGGTTTTGGCCAAGATGTACATACTTGACTTTGGCCCCAGAGCTGGGGTCGTGACACGATCCGCATCACGAGATGCTCCATGGACTGACCTTGCTTCTGGGGTACCATGTAGCCAACGCGTTGGATGGCCACGCACGCACCCATCTCTAGGGGCTACATCAAACTGGTTTGGTTTCCTTCCTTTACCCCGCCTAGATGCTACCCACATAAATATCCGAGAAAACATACCATACCATACCATACCATACCATACCATACCATACCTACATAATACTCGTACTCGCAGCCAGAGACGGAGACGTAGCCAAGTATGACAGATAAGTTGTCATTAAAAAAGCCAAACTGAACGCATGCGCGACGTTGCCAAATAATTGCAAACGCGAAACACAAAACACGAAATGGAATTTCTTTTATATTGAATGTCGTTGAATATTCCCAGGGACAAACGGAACGCGCAACAGGGAGGGAGCAACAGGGGAATGAAAGCAGACCAGAGCGGAGTGCAACACACCCACATCCGAAGCGAAGATGCCGCGCAAGCTACTTAAATTCCTGATCATCTTCGATAACACTTCCCTGCTGTACTTTCCCGGCCAGTTCCTGTCTGGACGGGTGCTCATTGAGCTGCAGGATGAGACGCCGGCGCTGGGACTGCACTTCCATGTGGTGGGGGAGGGCGTGGTGCGCAATGGCCGACGCCAGGAGCGAACGTACGACAAGGAGAACTACATTGACTTTCGCATGCGACTGCTCGGAGATGTGGACCAAGGAGGTCCGGCCATACTCTCGCCAGGAATACACAGTTTCCCCTTCAAGCTTGGCTTGCCCTTGGGCCTGCCATCGACGTTCCTGGGCCGCTACGGCTGGATACAGTTCTACTGCAAGGCGGCGCTGCGCGAGAACAACGGCATCATACACAAGAACCACCAGGTGTTTATAGTGATGAACCCCATCGACCTGAACCTGGAGAAACCGATTTTAGCAGTGAGTAACGCATGGAATTATAATCGGAGATCATTATACTTACGCCGCTCCTTGGTGTCCTTCCGCACAGCAACCGTTCACCTGCGAGGTGGAGCACAAGCTCGGAGTCGTATGCGTGGGTGGAGGTCAGATTAAGTGCCGAGTGTCCCTGGATCGGGGTGGCTATGTGCCCGGGGAGAACATTCTGGTCACAGCCTTCATCTCGAACTACAGCAACGTGTCCATTAAGCGCACAAAGGCGTCCCTCACAGAGGTAGGATCAACAGTTTGATGCTGCATTGCTCAGCCCTCATTGATTGCCCGGTTCCTTTTCAGACAATCGAGTACTTGGCGCGCGGCAAGGTGCTGCAGACGGAGAAGCGGGAGCTGGCTGTTCTGGTGCGCGGAAAGATACGTCCGGGAGGGAAGGATGAGTGGCACAATGAGAGCTTGTATGTTCCACCGCTGCCGCCGACCAACTTGCACGGCTGTCACTTGATCAAAATATCCTACGATGTGTTCTTTGTGATCGAGCCCAAGTCGATGGAGAAGGAGATCAAGCTTCAGCTGCCTATTGTACTGGCGACCTATCCATTCCGGAACAACTCCGGCGATGCAGCCAATGCGAACACGTGGCCAGAATCGGTGCTAAAGCCGGACACACATTACCCATCAACGTTGCCAATATTCCGGCCATGGATGCACGAGAAACCAAGTGAAGCATAGCACCACACACACACATTCATAGTTCTTGTTAACAACAAATTGCGCCATAAACTAATTTAAACCTATTTAACTTGTGTTGTGTGTACTTACCGTTTCCAATGTGTTGAGACTTACGGTCTACCTGTTTCTTGTAATTAAATAATCTAAAAACCATCAACTAATTTCGACCTGCTGCTGCAGATGATTTCTCTGGGCAAATTGTTTTTATCTTTATTTTCCACATACCCATTGAGCTCGTTCACATACTTGTTTCGTACAATTATACAAAAATTAAACATTAATTACAAAAAAAAAAATTTAGTCTACTTCGTCTATGGCCAATTCCGTTATTCGTTTAAATTTACTGCAGATGCCAGAGATGTGGTATCTGTCTCAGCGTCTAGTATTTTGAATAATCGATGGTTTGGTATATCCAAATATATCGCGTACATATCGATACAGTGGAAATTCCATAAAAATGAAAACATTAGCATCATTTCATGGCCTGCTCCTGATCATTTTCCTTACTGGCATTAATGGCGACTGCGGCTGCAACAAGCTGGACAGAGACGCGACTGTCGTGGAGGCGTCGGATCAAGTGTGCCAGCAACAGGCTCGAAATACGAACAAGCACTATCGTGACTACTATGCTGAGCCGGAGCCCGAGATCGAGGGCATGTCTCTGATACCCGGTGGAAGCGTACACATTGGCACCGACAACCCTCACTTCCAGGCGGACCGGGAGTCGCCCGAGCGTTTGGTTAAACTGAAGGACTTCTACTTGGACAAGCACGAAGTGTCCAACGCCAAGTTTGAGGAGTTTGTGTCGGCCACCAACTACACGACTGAAGCGGAACGGTTTGGCGATAGCTTCCTGTTCAAGACACTGCTCAGTGCGGCAGAGCAGAAGCGTCTCGAGGACTACCGCGTGGCTAGTGCGCCCTGGTGGTACAAGGTCAGTGGTGTTGGCTGGCGAAATCCCAACGGCGTCGACACCAACCTGAACGGTGAAGTCTTAAATTATTAACTTTCAGCCATCTTGATGTCATCTGTTTCCGTTTGTACGTAGGTCTCGAGCAGCATCCCGTGGTGCATGTGTCCTGGCGCGATGCTGTTGCCTACTGCACCTGGGCCGGTAAGCGTCTGCCCAGCGAAGCAGAGTGGGAGGCGGCCTGCCGAGGGGGCAAGCAACGCAAACTCTTTCCGTGGGGCAACAAGCTGATGCCCAAGGAGCAGCACTGGCTGAACATCTGGCAGGGTGACTTTCCAGATGGCAACACGGCTGACGATGGATACGAGGGCACCTGCCCGGTGGACAGGTTCCGCCAGAATGTGTACGACCTCTACAATATGGTGGGCAATGTCTGGGAATGGACTGCGGACTTGTGGGACACGAACGACGTCGGCGAGAGTCCAAATCGCGTGAAAAAGGGCGGCTCATACTTGTGTCACAAGTCCTACTGCTTCCGCTACCGCTGTGCGGCCCGTTCGCAAAACACCGAGGACAGCTCGGCCGGGAATCTGGGCTTTCGGTGTGCCAAGGATGCGTGAAACAGCATGGCAAGTTCGTCGTTCTTTGGATATTTTGTACGTTTGTGAGATCACAATTTGGAATTATACTCACATTGGTGGTCTTAAACTATCTTAAGTATTAAGGCTGAGGATGCGTGACTCTTTATGTTTCTAAATTGCGTGACGGACTGAAAAGACGTGTCATCCGGCGATGTTTTCTCATACGTCGGTTGCGCAATCTCTGTGCGGCCAGCTTGCTTTCGTTGGGTCTTGTCGGTGGCTTTGACATGTAGGGAAGGGGATTGCCATGTTCCCGTCTAAAAATGGAAGAAGGCGGTTAGTTTTATAACTGATAAGGTTGGGTCTTTAATCGACTTACGCGTTACGGCAGATGCGGCAAGAGCCGATTTTCGGGCTGCTATGAATGTCCCAGCGGGAGTCCAACACCTGGTAGTTACACCATCCATTGATGTGGTTGTAAATGAAGAATTTCTTAGCATTTATATTTGGGTCTTGCCCGCACTTCTGGGCATGTTTAATCCACCCAGCCATTGCCTTCTTTTCCTTATTACAGCGGATGCAGCGGTACCACTGCTTTATCTCTTGGACAGAATACCAATCTGGCTCTTGTAGTGGTTTCCGAGGGGGTTTCACATCCTCAGTCTCGGAGGACGCACAGTCGTCGTCAAGCACAATCGTTTCCTCCGGATCGTGTGCAAAGTTTTCAGCATTGTATTCAACCTCTGTTCTCGACATTGGCACCTCCTGCTCCGGATCAAAGCGAATTGGCACTAGGAGCTCTGGAGTTGGAGCTCGCATGACGGGTATGTTGGGTGTTTCGCTTGGAAATGGCGGCCACGGCTCGGTACTCACAAAAACATGATATTGTCCCTGGACGCAGTCAGTGTGCATGGCGCACAGGTCTATATCCCGCCACGAATTGCAATAAATGCACTTTTGTGGTGGCGGTTTCAGACAGCAAAAGCAATGATATTCTTGCCCAGTGCCCCCAATGCAATATGGCAAACCATGCGGAAGCGATCCGCATTTGCAGCATATGACATCCGGCATAGTGCCATACATATATAAACAATAACACACAAAACAAAAATGAACTGAATCTAGAAAAAATTGGCGTCGCTTAGAGGTGTCAAACCATCGAGGGCACTATCGATAGTATCGATATTTTGCTTCTAGCCTCTACTATCGATGGTTTTGAGACTATCATGATAGTATCGAGCTACAGTCGTTGCGCTTCTAATACGTTTGGATTGTCTGCTATAAGATACGAAGACACATTTGTAAACAAATCATCGACAGGTGGCATCTAATTTTTACAATGGACAAGTTCCTAAAAGGTTTCAATGGTTTTTTAATAATTATTAGAGCTATCACGATAGTATCGATTGTTTTTTTCAAAACATTCAACGTTGATATTTCTCGATTTTGATATTCCGTTTAATATTACTAGCTAGCTGGGACTTTCAGCCCTAAACAAATAATTTTATCCAATTCCTCAATGAATTTAGTTTAGGATTGGCTAGTTTTTAGAAGTCCTTTTTATTGGATTATTTACATATTAAGGTTCAAACAAAAACAACATAAGACGAATGTGTCGTCGTTTTGTGGCGCTACCAGACTCCTGCAATTCGTAGTTGCTGCGGGCTGCCATACCGTGATATTTTGTGATATGAAATTCGTCAATTTTGATATTCAGTTTAATATTACTATATAGATGGCCCTCTCAGCCCTAAAAAAATAATTTTATCCAATTCCTCAATGAATTTTGTTTAGGATTGGCTAGTTTTCAGAACTATTTTTCATTAAATTGTTTACATATTAAGGTTCAAAAAAAAGCGGCCAAAGCATAAAACGTAAATGTTGACTAATAGCCTTTTTACACTGGGCGCGTCTGCTATCGATATCGGCATAGACGCAATGAAGCAGAAAAGGCGTTTACATTGGAAGACGTGCGTCCTTGAATTTGGATTTGGGTGTTTGATGACAAGGAAAGATACACAAATTTTTGAAAATCAACAGAATTAAGCAAGACGTCAGGAAAATGGACGAAAAAGAATTGATTCTCATATTTAAATATTATTTTCAGACATTTCATTGTAGAGTTTGTGGGAGTTCTTCTTCAAATTATGAAAACCACCGAAGTTCGTCTCCAGCAGTGTCTTAATGGCATCAGGGGGTCATAAAAAGTTCATATGATAATAATACAATCAGTTTCAAGTATTTTAGTTAATGACTTTATGTATATTTTCACCTTTTTGCACAATCATACATTTTTAGCGCCAAAATTTGATTTTTGATCTACAATTTTTTGTTGTTATTAGTGGTGATAGTTGCGCTGATAGGCAGAAAATACCAAAAATGAGCAAAATCAATCGAATATACCGAATAGACGCACATGAATCAGACACTGACGCAACTTTTTGCCACCACTAGGGCCCTATGCTTAACCTATGTAAAAAAAACTGCGTCTTCGCCAAGACGCAAAGAAGCATGACGCAGCCCCAGTGTAAACGGCCTATAAATGTGACGTCAGTGTTGCTGGTCAACTAAGTTTCTTGTATGCGTATGTACTTTTGTATACCTTATTTCTTTTAATTGATGCTAATTTTGTTGTTCCAAGCTCCATTGAAACATTATTTATGATTTTATCCTAGAGTGACATGTTTTTTACCTATTAATGCATATGTTTTGTTTTATATATACATTTATCCCAGTTCTGATACCTATTATTGGAACCCATTCCATACGCGTTCCCGTTAAGAACATGTTTCTCACACCACGAAAATGAGGGGAAAGTCACCACTAAAATGCTCTCTTCACCACTGAAAAGAGAGCAAATTTTAAAAACCCACCACGAATTGAGAGCAAATTTTAAAAAACCACCACTATTTGGGAGCGAATAATATCGATATTTTTGTGCGCTAAATGAGATTGGCGGTCATTTTCAAATGTACATGCATATATGGAAAAATAAATATTTCACTTGATTTGTTTTGTCGAGTGGGACTGGAACCTCAGAAACCGAGAAAAAATAGCTTAGCCCCGCTCTATTTAATCAGGTTAGTAACAAGTAAATATCAACAACAAAAAAATGAAAAATTAATAATTATTTGAGCTCGATACTATCACGATAGTATCGATTGTTTTTTTCAAAACATTCAAAACTATCGATGGCTCAACTATCAATCGTTTGACAGCTCTAGCGTCGCTTGCGTCGTAGAGGTGTCAAACCATCGAGGGTACTATCGATGGTATCGTTGATTTGCTGCTAGCCGATACTATCGATGGTATAGATGTGGCATTTCATACAACGAAAGTGGCGCAGCTGAGGTTTCAGCGTACGGTCCCAGGTCTTAGGGTCTGGGACCGACCGCGTTCGGCTCATGACATGACATGAGCCGACTGAAAGCAAGCATGTACATACATATGTATGTGTTACACTCCAAAATATATGATTGTATAGCCTAGTACTCAGATCTAAAAACGGTTTGCTAGCAAACAAATGTCGTTTTTTTCGATCTGAGTACTAGGCTTTCCGTACAGAGCCTAGAAAACAGTTTTTGCCGGAATCGGTTTCATACGAATAGCAACCCTGATTCTGTTCGCGAGGTGTTTTTTCAGATCTGAGTACTAGGCTTATGCATGGAGTCATTTTTAGCTGCCGAAACCGATTCTGCCTTGAGATTTCAGATTTTCCATGTATTTTCACATACTGTGCTTGTGTGGGTTCTACAATTTTTTGACGCTTGAACCGAAATTGGTTTTTCGTTTTCTTTTGAGGGCTGATGAAGCGACCTGAGCTGATCTGCCGCAGTATACAATATATAAAAATAAAATATACTAATTGTTTGATTTAATTGAAATTGCACATTTACATATCCGTATTTTAGAGAGGTTTTTTTTTTTTTAATTACATATTGTGCAAATGCCGTCGTCTTTCGACTTTGGAACTCTGTCAATAAATTTATATTTTTCAGAGAACTTTTCATTTCTATATACATATATGTACATATATGCATGGAATTGGTATATACCAGGACTCCACGCGCCACACCCAGTGGCACCTCCTTCTTCCCTCCCCTCGCCCTCTTGTGCGACGGGACATACGCGTGTGCTGGTAGGCCATCAATGTGTAAGCTGCGATCGCTATCGACTGCCAAGTATCATCTATTCTATGTGTAACATCTTTCTCCTTCCACAGGGAATCCAGTCAGACCGATTTGAGTGTCATTAATGCACGTGTCTACAATTTCAACGAAAAGGGAGATCTGAAATCTTCAGGTGCGCAAAACACAAACATATCCCATCTGGCATTCATTTAACATCCCATCTCTCTTCCTTTTGTAGATTCTCCCTACCAGCCAACGGTGACATCATTATAAATGGGGAGAGACTGAGAGATTGAATACAAATAATTGCTCATCTGCGTATGAACTCTGGTATTTGCCAAGCTAATGATTCATTTGGGTGCCACACCAGACAAACACACTCACAAATGTGTGAATACATATAAACATGCGTTTAGCATTATTAATAAACGGAAATCAACATTTGTACATAATACGATATTACTTATATAAGTTTGCCAGTTAGTAATACCATAGTATAGTGTTTTTGTATGGATTTAGCAGTAACATGGACGGAATATTATATAAAGCTACATGTATATATCATATATATATTGTATAGTTTATTAAAAAATCAAAAAATACAATTTATATGTGTGCTTTATTTGGAATGGGCGGGAGGCCAAGAATATTCGTTCAGGACAGATCAGGCTTCAAAATGAATAGACTTGAAAATTCCTTGAAAAGGAATCTAAGAAATTATGGATATTTTCCCGATCATGGGTAGGCGTCACTCGCCCTGATCGGACGAGAAACAGCGGAGTTATAGCGATTTAAAGGCAATATCCTTATTGTCCTTAAAGTGAAACGATGGTCGACATCCTGCCGATTATGAGGATACCTATCACATCCATATCGGATGAAAAATGACAGTGGCGCCCCCACCATCATCGACGGCCACTGTTGGAACTAAAGTATTGTAGTTCCATCAGCGGCCGTAGGTGATCATGGGGGCGCCACGGTGCAAAGGCTCAAATGGCCGAAAGCATAACTCCGTTATTTATCGACCGATCAGGACGTGGTACGTGTCCTCGTGATCGGAAGAAAATCCTCGATTTTGTGGAGTCCTTATAAAGGACCAAGGATCAAGGATATTTCCCCCAGTCTGAAATACTTACTTTTCTCTGTCATTTTTCATTCGTGTCCTACGCGTTCGTGTCCTCGTGATCGGAAGAAAGTCCTCGATTTTTTTGAGTCCTTATAAAGGACCAAGGATCAAGGATATTTCCCCCAGTCTTAAATACTTACTTTTCTCTGTCATTTTTCATTCGTGTCCTACGCGTACGTGTCCTCGTGATCGGAAAAAATCCTCGATTTTGTGGAGTCCTTATAAAGGACAAAGGATCAAGGATATTTCCCCCAGTCTTAAATACTTACTTTTCTCTGTCATTTTTCATTCGTGTTCTACGCGTACGTGTCCTCGTGATCGGAAGAAAGTCCTCGATTTTTTTGAGTCCTTATAAAGGACCAAGGATCAAGGATATTTCCCCCAGTCTTAAATACTTACTTTTCTCTGTCATTTTTCATTCGTGTCCTACGCGTACGTGTCCTCGTGATCGGAAGAAAATCCTCGATTTTTTTGAGTCCTTATAAAGGACCAAGGATCATGGATATTTCCCCCAGTCTTAAATACTTACTTTTCTCTGTCATTTTTCATTCGTGTCCTACGCGTACGTGTCCTCGTGATCGGAAGAAAGTCCTCGTTTTTTTTGAGTCCTTATAAAGGACCAAGGATCAAGGATATTTCCCCCAGTCTTAAATACTTACTTTTCTCTGTCATTTTTCATTCGTGTTCTACGCGTACGTGTCCTTGAGATCGGAAGAAAATCCTCGATGTTGTGGAGTCCTTATAAAGGACCAAGGATCAAGGATATTTCCCCCAGTCTTAAATACTTACTTTTCTCTGTCATTTTTCATCCGTGTCCTACGCGTACGTGTCCTCGTGATCGTAAGTGAATCCTCTATTTTGTGTAGTCCTTATAAAGGACCAAGGATCAAGGATATTTCCCCCAGTCCTAAATACTTACTTTTCTCTGTCATTTTTCATTCGTGTCCTACGCGTAAGTGTCCTCGTGATCGGAAGAAAATCCTCGATTTTGTGGAGTCCTTATAAAGGACCAAGGATCAATGACTGGGGGCGCCACTGTGCAAATTAAAACTTTGTTGTTGCACAGTGGTGCCCCACTATGACCGACGGCCACGGATGGAACTAAAGTATGGTAGTTCGAGAAATCACCGTTCATTAATGGGGGCGCCACTGTGCAGCAACAACATTTTTATTTGCACAGTGGTGCCCCCATTTTTGAGTGGGTAATAAGTGGGACGGAGAAATCTGGAACTACAATTCTTTTATTATTCAGCATTATTTAAAATGCGTATAACTCGTCCATTTCCAGTCCGATCTGGGCGTGCCACGCCTTCTCGTGATCGGGAGAAAGTCCCCCACCGTTTGACGTCAAGGACAATAAGAATATTGTCCTGGAATCGTTATAAATCCTTTATTCCTTCGCAATTTTTCGTTTGATCAGGGCGGGCCACGCCTCCATTGGATTGGGGGAAAACTTTAGCCGATGGACAGTTTGGATCCTAAAAATCCTGGAAATGTTGGTCCTTCGAGGACTCACATTCAGAAAAATACCAAAAGAAATTATCATTTTTTAAATATACCGAAGAAAATAAAGACTTAGTCCACTGAACCCCCCTCTATTTAAACAGTGAAAAAACTTCACTTAAGCCGTGGAATATTACACTGTTTGTATATTCTTCTTGTAGATCCATCCTTCCACTTAACTTAAAAAAATATATGACAACGATATCTTTCACCGGAAATGAGAAAAAAATGTTTCAATTTTCATAATATTCGTGTGTACATATATCGAATTACTTACTGGACGACAATGGGTTAATCGTTGTATGTTTATGATCGGAAATCATTTCTCTATCCCGATATCACTAATTTTTGAGTTTAATTAGCGGGTCTTTTAAAAACACTATTCCATAATAGAAATCAAACAATGTTTGTGTATGTTTTAATATAATTATATTCCCTTTGCATAGAATAAGCTTGGACCGGACACCGTCCCTCGTTCCAATCATACTATATGATATTATCCATATTGTTTACAGTTTAAATGGTAGTTAATGCTAATGTGTATATTTTTGTATATTGATGACTAAATTGCCATGGCGCAAATGCAAAATGTTGAATGTAAATCTTTCAGATTTTGACTATGTATGTATGTACTTGTATATGCCTACATGCCTAGGTTATGTACGTAAATAAATGTGTACATATGTATAATATGGTACGACTATTATCTCTAGGGTATACAAATATAATAGTATTCTACGCTGAAATGCTTCACTGACACAACATTGTTTGTGCGCATGGCGTGGGCTATGAGCGGGGCTGATGCTGGCGGATGATGTGCGCTAGGGCTAAGGCTAGGGCTAGGGCTAGGGCTAGGAAGATGGAAATTTACAAAAGTCTTAAGCTAAAATGGGCGAAACACTATGTACAGGAATCGAAACTAAAACTAGGCGACTGACTTTCTGATGGGTATTTAACAATAGGGATCTAAATCTATAAATATAGTTATAGTCGGGTTCATGCGGAGATCGTGCGATCGTAGGGTTGATGCTGATGCTGCTGCTGCTGCTGGGGTGCTGTGCATTTTCAGATGTTTTGCTCAAAAATATCACAATGCAAAATAAAAGCGACAGACGACTCTGTCTGCTGTAGGGATATGCCAATTTCAGATGTACATGCATCTCTATATAGAGGGATGTGCCGGGAATAATGCATGGACGAAGCATTAAGGAACATTGCGCTGCCAGGCTGGAAGACTCTGGGCAAGTCTACGCAATCGCTACACACTGATCCTGTGCCCGTAACGGGCAGGGCTACTGTGAAGCTGCACCAGTTGGTAATACTGTGCCGTGATGACGGACGATAGGGTTCTTCAAGCTCCCACTCCGGCGACCGTTGACAGATGCACCGCCTGCAGCATGACCGTCTTTAGCTCCCTGGCCAAGCTATTGATGTGCACCACCGAGTCGACCATCTCCTGCACGGCGCTGCCGCTGGGGAAGTGGGCCGCCGCCTTCTTCGACTTGAGGACACAGGTCTTTAAGGCATCGGAGAGGCCATTGGTGCAGTGGAGGATCTTCTCGCGCAGCGCCTCCTTCGAAATGTTGCGATGTACGTTGTCGCCGATGGTCACCAGGTTATGGGCACTGACCACCACGAATTTTCCGTAGGCAATGAAGAACTTGGGCGGCTGATTCTTCTCCACGGTCTCCAGGAACGAGTCGATCGCCTGCATCAGGTTGCCCATGTGCGTGGAGATCTGCTGGGCATAGTAGCGCACCAGCTTCTTGTCCTTGTCTGTCATCTCCGGCGACTTGCAGGGCGTGGCCGCCGTCGGTGTGGTGGGCACTGAGCTCACTCCCCCCGTCGTTCCCATGGCTGTGCTCTCGGCGGTCCGGATCACCGTGTCGAACTGCGTCTTCAGGCCAACGGGAATGGCCTCACGCAACGATTGGTTCTTCTTGGCCGCTGCATCCTTGGATTCGAAGGCCACGTAGTCGTAGTCTTCGAGCCACTCGGCACTGCCTCGAATGCATCCATCGCTGGACGCAGGGGCGCCGTTTCCACCGTTCTGTTCAGAGGGCAGCAGACGCTTAAAGAGCAGCGATGCATTGCCCTGGATAAAGCTGGTGGTAGAGCGTACGTCCTCGGTGAGGGTCTGTGCGCAGGCCATCAGCTGATCAAGCGAATCTGGCGGCCGGCAGCCGTGTTTCTCGTCGCTCCGCGCCAGCACATCCACAGACCAACCGCCCTGTGCGTCCAGGGCTTCGCTGGAATCGTGTATCAGCTTGTTAGCGTCCCGCAGGGCCCGGACCAAAGGCCGCAACTTCAACGCCAGATTGCGGTCCTCCGAGCGCGTGGCATTGCCCAGGGCTCCCTCTCCGAATTCGGCCAGGTCGTGCAGGGCCGTGCGTAGGCGAAGTGCCGCCAGCTTCAGCTCCATTATGGCCGGTTCCAGCTGGCTGCGGATGCGCCAATTGGGGACCACAAAGCTGAGCAGCCGCGTGATGGCCGTCGTGGTCTGCGACTGCAGCTTGGCCAGCGTCTCGAGGGCGGAGCTCAGCTCCAGGGGCAGCTCCTTGACGGCGGCCGGACTGCTGCTGCCGTTACTCTGGGTGCTGGTCAGGCGCTGCTCCTGCTCCTGCAGCGGCGGCAGGGGGAAGTCGTAGGTCAGGCCGCTCGGCTGAAGTGGTGTGCGGCGCACGGGCAGCGGATTGCGGCGCGGGATATCGTAGTCGGGCATGTTGGCCAGCGAGGAGCGGTTCGAGCTGGAGAAGCTAAGAGACAGGCTGTCGCTGGTCAGCAGGGACGAGGCCGAACTGCTCGGCGTCATCTGCTGCTGCAGCAGGCTGCTGCTGCTGATGAGTGGTCGCGGCACATCGTAGGACTCCTCCTCGATGGAGGCGGCCACGCTCTTCAGCGACTCGAAGCGCGCCCCCAGTCCGGAGATCGATGTGGGTGTCCTCGGATGTCCGCCCTTGGGACTGTCGTAGTTCAGCGGCACGGGCGTGGCAGGTTTGGGTATGTCGTACGTCTCGAACTCGCTGCCACTACCAACGTTCTGATTCTGCTGGGCTGCTGCCATCATGGAGAGGTTCTGGTATATGCTTTGGTTGCTGTAGATCTGCTGGTGCGATGTGCGGACTCCTGTTCCCCCTCCAGGCAATGATGTGGGCGAGCAGTTGTAGATGTAGACATCACCGTGTCTCTGTGGTGTAATTACCTGAAGAGAAACCAGAGAGCAAAACGTATAGATTAGTCGCTATTGAAGCAGTTATGGGTGGTTCTACTACTACTACTACGACGACTACTACTAGTCGCATTCCACGCTGCAACCCACACCCGTGGTTTATCGATTTTCTTTGCTGCTGCTGCTGCTGCTGTTTCGGTCTGACTGTCTGGCGATTCCTGTGAATGAACCACCGTCTACCAAGAGGGAAGTGTTTCTCTTTCTGGTTGTGGTTTGGTGGTTCTGGGGTCTCTCTCACCTGCTGTCTGATTATCACATCTGGTTTCTCAATTATTGCATAAATGCAATAGTATAAAAAGTTTTAAAAAAATAGGGGAAAACCCTGGCGTACAAAAAACGTCGCTGTTCAAAGGGAAAGACACGACTGCGACTGCAGCCCCCAAAAAGAGAGTTGTAAACGGACGGAGTCGTACGTTTGCCAAGTGGGGAAATTTTACAAAATGGGAATTTAGCGGCACATGCGCCCTGAAAGCAAAGTGGAAGGACATTTCTACTGTCGATTGCAGTTCAAGGCAGTTCAGTGTCAAGGTAAAGGACCCCCCGCAATACTTCATATTGTATACTCGTAGAAGAACAATAAATTCGAGTAATAATAATGAATGGAAATTATATGGATAATTATGGTAATTGAGAACTGTAACCAGAATGAACTATTCATGCATGGATAATATATGATATGATGGCAAACTCATTTCCTGCAGAACAAAAGGAACCAAGTATAATAGAAAAGAAATATAATATATCGAATTATATATCAAACAACCCTTCAACAAATTGCTTTTCAAGCCATATTGATTTGCCATAAAAAAGGGATTAGAGACTAGACAAGAAGTTAATCTTTCAGCGCAAACTGCATAACAATAAAGTCACATAATCCAAATTGGAAAACTAATACCGAGTACAACATAAACGTTAAGTTTATAAATATATGCCAAGGCCTAACCCTAACCTAACCCTCCCCATAAGCCTAGTCTAGGAACGAGGGGATGCGATCTGTGGCCATATGCTGCCGCCGTCGAATGATGAAATATTATTGCGGCATATGTGAAATTATTCGATTAAGCGAGGCACGTACCACCGCAGAGGGAAGAGACACGCCTACCGCCGCAGCCCAGCGAAATGAATCGATTCCTAATTAAGTAAACCGTTACGCCAGGAAGTAACCCCTCTAAAAGAGAGGATCGATCTGTAGAAAGGGGAATAGAGGAACAAATAAATAAATAAATAAAGAATGCTACCTGAAGTGGACACTCGTGGCTGTGGCTGTGGCTGCAGTCCTCTCCCCGCCATTTCGTATCGGGTTGCCAGAGTTGTGTTTCCCTTTTGTTCTAACCAACCATTGAAGTGCCAATTGACGCGTAACACGAGTCAACAAAATGCCAAAAAAAATAAAGAAAAAGGGATACGATACGATGCGATGCGATGCGATAGAGAACAGCTGAGGCTGCACAAACTGCGGGATGGTTTCGTTAAAAGCGTATCAACATTCCCTCTTTTATCTTTTATCTAATCGGGGGGAATCGGAGCAGCTGAATGGACAGCTGGAGGCCGGCGGTGAATGTGAATGCCATTTGAAGTACCAACAAAAACAGAACTCAAGATCATCAAAGACTTGACCACCTGAAAAGTTGCTATTGGGTTTTGGGTTCGGCAATTGCACCACCGAACTCCAAGAAGAACACAACCCAGCAGGGGGTTTGGTTTGGTTTTGGTTTATTTCTTTGTTTTTCCTTTTGTGGGCTTGGTTTTTCCCTGTGACCCATATTTTTTGCCCGACTTTTCTTTCTGGCGAAAATTTCCTTTTTGTTTTTATATTTGTGTGACCCAAATGAGCAACATTTCCGGGGCATATATCAAGAGATTTATGACACATTTGGGGCATTCCATGGGCTTGGATTTGGGTTGGGTTGGGTCCGCCCAGGGGGCTGGTTGTTCCCTCATTTAATTGGCGTTTGATAGTCGAAAGATATGCTGTAGTATTCCCCACACGTCAAGGAGTAATTCCAGATTCTTCGAGTGTACACAGACACGGAGGAGATGTGTATACCGATACACGATCTCAGGAAAACAAATCTTTTTATGTTCTCGTTTAAATTCCTCTCCCGAAAACAGTAGCAAACGAGCTGATAATCATCTCGGGAGTTTCGCAGTTTCGTTCGTTGAATGCATTTCAATGCTCCCTTCATCACTCCCTCCAGTTCTTCTGATCAACGGACACCTGCCCCCTGGAGAGAGAGAGAGTCGGAGAAGGAGCGGGGGAGTAGCGGTGCAGAGGCCCACGCAGTTCTTGAGTTCTTTGGGATTTCAACATTTTCTCACGTACCGAAAACAGAAAAAACAAAACAACAAACATTTGTATGGAAAATGTTAATTATCCAAAGTAAAGAAAGAGGAGAAAGAATGAACGATCACTGGGAAGGGATCTGAGGATCTGCTGGATAGCTGGGGGGAACTGTTTCTGTTGTTGCTGTTGTCGAATGCGGTAATCCCCCCGGCCAACACTAACGACCTTGCTGCGGACGGATCTCCTCCGCTTTTGTAAAGACTTTTCACCGCTTTCCACATACTGGACACATTCTGCTATGAATCCGCATTGCCCGATCCGATGGCCCATCCACACACTCTGGCCATAACTTTGGTCACGCACAAATCTCGGCAGAATCCGAAATACGAAAAAAAAAAAAGAGTTATTGTGGCTGCTCTGATGCTCTGCTGCGGCACTCGGGGCCTGCATTTGTAACCATTTTTGGGCAATAAAATAAAAATGACATGTTTTGCTCAAGCTCAAAGAGTCGTCGGCTCTCCCTCTCTCCCGCTCTGGCTCTGGCTCTCGCTCTCTGCTTTTGGATCTGGCCATAAATCTTCATTGGCTTTTGCAGCAGCGGTTGCATTTGGCCACCACCTGACTATGGTTCGGCTTGGTTCGGTTTGCTTTTGGCTTTTGGCTTGGTTCGAATGGGTTTTTGCTTTTGGCTTTATGGTCAGTGCGTGACCAAGAAGGAGACAAAGACGGAGACGCAGGCGCAGGCGCAGACAGAGTTGGAGTCTGCTCCAAAGAGCAGTCTGTATGTGGGCTCAAGGAACTTGAAGTTGTCACACAATGTTGTTGGCGCTGCCGCTGCCGTTGCTGCTGCTGCTGCCGCCCGTCCATCGTCTAACGGTGGAGGCGAGTTTTTCCGAAACCACCAACAGCTTGGGTTTCTGCCATAAAACATACTTAAGTATGTGGGTTGTGGGATGCTGGAAGTATAATACGAATAGCACGAGTAGTATCTGTGGCGTTGGGCAGTCCAACGATTGCACAACATTAGACGAGACATTTCCGTTCTCAATTAGCCCCAAGGAATGTCTGTCGCTGGGCAAAGGCGTTGCAGCTTGCAAGTTTTGTAATATTCAGGGGGTTACTATGTGGGATATGGGATACATTTCAGGTGACTGTTCTATTTTAAATATGCATCTTTTTACCAATCAATCTCTTGTTCAATCGATCTATATCTATCAATCTTTATAGAGCTATCTATCAATGCATAGATCTCTCATTCTATTCGTATATGTATCTTCCCATCTATCCATACAAATATCTTCCCATCTGTAGGCCACAATTCGAACTTCGTTCTTGTCTAAAAGCAACAAAATGTAAAGTTCGATCAACCTGCATCCCGAAAATGGGTCAATGGGAATGCCGCAGAGATTCACTCTTTTATTTCGAGTGTTTGAATGGGGGTAAAGTGTGGTGTGATGTGTGTGCTCAAAGCTCTATTCGAACATCCCATTTGACGCCTTCGAGTGACAGCTGCAACTTCGCACGCGGTGATTTCCAGAGTCAATCAAATCGAACAAACGAATGAACAAAGGCCGGGCAGCATTTACTGTTTTGTCAGACTTTTATGACTAGCACAGCAGCAGCAGCCAAGGGGAAAAGGTTTCTCCCGAAACTTCGACTTCGTCTTCAGCTCTGGCAATGCAATTCGCAGTTTTGGGGCCTCCAATGAAATGGCAGCTGGGGCGTGCAGCAATTTGTGGCTTGCCCCCTCCAGCTTACACAGCTCCGACTGCTCTCCCCGCATAGCGTTTACTTTGAATTCGAATTTGAATTTGAATTTATGGTTTCACTTGCCTCCAGTTAAGATTGATAGCTGCCGATAATGCGAGGAAATGTTTACGACTCTGTAATTTGGGTTTCATTTTATTTGATTTGCCTGCGAGCCCCCAACCACCAACCACCAGCTCCAGAGTGCGCTGGGAAAGCGAAAGTCCACCGCATCAAAAATCACTGACCATCCCATCCCATCCATCCATTGGAACGACCCCATCCCACCATGGATGGTGGGCGTATTGGATGCCAAAGTTCAGGCTGCGCTCTCGAAGGCCGCTTGCATGCGGTGCTAATGATGATCGGTGATCCGATCGTCAATTAAGTTTAAGCATTATGCAATATCGAGAGTCGAAGAATGGGCAATGGGGAATCCCCAAAAGCCCCATGAAAGCGAAAGGTTTATCAAAGACTGCTCTAGCTGTGATCTAGAGTGTCAAAGATCTCTCTTTGTAGCCATCCAAAAATATTTTTTGCCTTCCCAGGGATTTAGCCATATCTTCTCCCAGCCATCTACTTCTTTCCCCATCAATCTCTTCCATGTTTTTCCCATCTCTTGGCATCATTTATGATCTTTCTCTATTGATCTTTCGATGTGCTCTTCCGTTGGCAAATTGTTCGTTTCCTTTAATTTCCAAATCAAACCAAATCAAAGTGAAAGAAATGCAAATAAAACGCATGTCCAGCTGACAAATTGGCAAATTACAAGACCGAATGCAAAGAGGGGAAACCCGTTGGACAGCAGCTGCAGCAGAGCCCCCAGAGTGCTGCCCCACGAGCACGAGAGGCACAGTCACGAGGCACAGCCTCAACTTGCAACCGAGGATCGACTCTTGCAACTCTTATTAATTGCACAATTACGACACGCAGTTGACGTGAGGAGAGGAGAGTTGAAAGGAGAGTGTGGAGCATGGAGTATCCAGTGTGGGGTATGGGGGGAGATGGTGAACGATGAACGATGGACCCCTCAAAGCGTAATGATGGACCGAAGGAGCCACAGAAATTACTTTCTTTCACTTTCCCGACAAATATCATAATTCAGTAGCCACCGGAGAAGCCACAGAGCAGCCACAGGAGGATGTAAATGTTGCAGAAAGAAACGAAATCAATTAAGAGCCCCCCAGACTCCCTACCGGACGGAGTCCCAGAGTCTGACGAAGCGAAAAATTAAGAAATTGACAAACCAACTGGAACGGGAACCAGGATTATATTGGGACTGGGATTGGGTTGGGGGAACGGAACGGAACGGAACAGATATTTACCTTGTTCGGTGAGACATGCCACGATCGTCTCGCGCCGCGTCCCTGCGTGCCAGATGAGGACTCCTGGCCATTCGTTCCTTGGCTATTTGTCAAACCAGCGCCACCGCCACCACCTGAGGACGAGGCCGCACTGATGATGGACCCATTCTCATAGATTTCCGCGGAGCAGATGGAGCTGTTCAGCGTCGCAGTGCTGGCCGCCAGCGAGGGTATCGGGGAGCTGGCCGGCGATGGCGAGAAGCAGCCCGAATCGTACGAGTTCAAAATGCGTAACCGGTTGCCGGGGCATAGACCCTGAAAATAGAGAGAAATTTAGTGAAAATTGCAACAACAACAAGCCTAAGCAATTGGTTAGGGAAACTCGATCAAGTCAAAGGGAAAGCCAAGAAAAGACAAAAAAAAAAAAATAGCCAAAAGAGATGGAAACCGCATGGAATTTTAAATGTTTTTGCATCCTCAATTCTCAAGTTCTTTCTTTGGTTTTATTAGCAGAATTCTTTTTCAATTTTTCCGCAACTTTTAGCCTTACCTCCCCCTCCACTCATTGTTCAATGTCTGCGCTCAATGATCTCAATTGATTTTGATTGCTTTTTAATCAACTCAATGCTGAATGAATTATTAATGAAAAATATATACGAGTATGTATGTATCGGCAGTGCAAAAAATAAAATGGCTAAGGAAAACATATTGCAATAATTTTTCGCTTGTTTTTAATTGCCAGACGCATTCCTTGTCATTCTATTTAAGATCTGTTGCAGATCATTGCTGTCCCACATGTTTAATGCAATTTTCCGACACCGATCTGTGGTGTGAGATGTTCTCCAAAAAAAAAATGTTCCCAATGCTGTGTGCTGTGGATGTTGAATGCTGGTGCTTTGGCCCCCCGGCCAACATCAAAGTCTACCATAAAATCTTGTCAACATGTGTTTTTCGCGATCGAAATTTATGCCAAAAGTTGATTTTTATTTATAACACAACACTATTTCTCTTAATTTTTTTTTTAAGTCGTTTCTACTGCTCTGTTGTCGGCAGGCACTCAATTGTCCGTTTTTGGGTTAATTGTTTCCATTAAAAAGTTGCAGCTACTTTTTAATTAGAGACAATTGGCGGCCAGCAACGGACCGTGGCATAGTATCTACTACATAGTAGTATCTGTATCTATAACGCTTGCCTGCCAATTTTGATTTCCATTTTGATATATGTTTTGACACCATCATCATCAGCATCGCCAGTCAACCCGTTCCGCCCCGCCAATGGGCTGGTTGTTTTTTTTTCTATCTAGTGGCGGCGCCAATTGAGTTGTTAATTAAAAATTGCCACCGAACGACGTGCAGAAATTGGAAAAATTTTGCGATCATTTTTGTGATCTGAAGTTTGAAAAGTTGTTTCTGCGGTGGGGTGCTAGTTGGTGGGGTTAATCAGCCACAGAAGGGAGGGAGGGGTTCAAGGTTGCCTCGGGGCGAATTTGTGCGAGTGGGAGATTAAATCATTAACAAGTTCGCAAATTGAGGTTGAAGTTTGCTATGGGAAAAGGTTCGCCAGAAGAAGGTTTTGGATTTGCCATTGATAAATGAGATTTCGTTTAGAAAGTTTTGCTCGAAGAAGGGGTTATAATGCGGGTTATAGAGAAAGAATTGGTTGAAATGGGAAATATCTGGTCGAAGAATTTAATTTTAATTCAGGTACTTCCCCTTTCTGAAAGAGAACTCTTTCATATCACAACTATGAGCCCCATTTCGGTCTGAATTTCCTTATCTGCACATATGGATTTCCTTGGAAAAATTATATCACTTTGTTTACCAACGAAATCGAAGCGAGGCGAGGCGAGGCGAAGCAAACAACTTCGACCTATTTATCCACTCCACACATTTGCCGAGGCATGATAATGTTGTATGCCCCACAGTTGGTGTGGCAAGATAATGCTGTATGCACTTTGGTAATCTGTAATCGTCTGGTAATGCTCATATCCCCCTTTCTGGCATTAGAGGGGGCCATCATTTTGATGATGATGATTATTATAGCGGGCTGTTGCAGACACAATTAAAGTGCCAAAAAATATGTGTAATTTATATAGGCGCTCAGCCTCTCGGGGGTATGTGGCATCTCCCGCATGCTGCATGCAACGCCATCAATTGGGCCACGTGCCAGCGATGATGAAGCGTTGAAACAATTACAGAAATTAAATTAAAAATTTAAATGAGTTTTTTGTTTCTTTTTCCCCCCTCGGGAGGAACGGAAGAATGGGCAAATGGAAATGGAAAAAGTTATGCAAATGACTTCGGATTGCTTAATTACAAATGCAGACAGAACCCAGACACAGCACAACCCAACGGATACTCGTAATTTAAGAACAAGAAAGGGAACGAAAAATACAAGAAAACAAGAAAAAGAAGGCGTTTCCCTGTTAGCTCTTGATGGGCGTTCGGTTCGGCTCGGCCCCAGAGATGTTTCGACTTGATTTGGGTTCTCGTTCTACCAAGATCCCTCTAAATATTTCCACTCACCTGTCGGTTCTTCAGCGTACAGAGCCACCATCCCTGGATGCCCTCCGTGTCCTGTTCGATGACGGTGAGGATGTCCCCCTTCTTGAAGGGCAGCTCGTCGGGGCTGTCTGCATAATTATCATATATGGCCTTGGCATAAAGTTTCTGCAAATAAATCAACGAACAAAAAATGAAACAATTAAGAAAAAAGATACTCCAGTTTTATCAGCGGAATGAGGCGATTTATGCTGTGTTTTTTTCACTTCTAAGAGAAGCCGCAAGCGAAGCAACAATTTCAATGGAATTTCAAAGACGTTTTCTCGGGGGCTTGACCAGCCACTGACCCTGTGCTGCCCCTGTCCCGTCCCGTCCCTGTCTCGATCTACTGCTTTGCCATACCCAAAAACTTCCATCATTCATAAGAACTTGGTCGTTTGCTGATCTTTAGCTTTTACGTACACTCACACATATTTCTCTTCTTTTTAGGTAGCGAAATGTTTTGCGGGAATGGAATACAAAGAGCTGCAGAAAAACTGCAAAGACCAAAACCAAAAGAAAGACAGCAAGCAAAACAATGCCAATTTTTTGTTGTTGTTGTTGCTTCAGCCCATGCGGCGCTCGCTTCATTAGTTTAGCTGGAATTTCAGGTCAACTTGGGTTGGTTTTTTTGGTTTTTATTTGGGTTTGCCTCTAACAGTAGAGTAGAGATATCCCAGATATCCTATCCATACAGGCGGGGATAGTTGTCTAGAACTCATGGAATCTCAGAGGATGTGAGCAAGCAACTTCCAAGAGCCAGAGAGAGAGAGAGAGATTGGAATCAGACATTTGTTGATCATTTCCGTAGCACTCCCTTGAACTGATACCAATCATAAAACTTCAACACATTCTGCTAGCCATTCGGGCCACAATTTACTCTATGGCAGGGGAACATTCATCATCTGCACGAACCTTAACATTCCTTCAATCGGATTTAATCACTTGAAATGAAACACTTTCCAGCCTTCCTCTTTTTCTTTTGTCTCTAAATCACTGACCACGAGTGTGCAGCCTTTGGGGCCTGTGGGGTAGCAAGAGTTAGATGGAGCGAAAGAGCGAGTGGGGCAAAGGTTTGCTTTGCTTTTCTTCTTCTCAATGAATGTCCCGTGTCCATGTGTAATTGCTGTACATGTGTTGGTGTGTGCAGGTATTTGTGTTCGCGGGTTAAGCGTTGTGTGCTTTTAATTTCGTAAAGAAATCCAAAACGAACCATTTTGAACTCGAACTCAAAGCCGAAGCCGAAGCCAAAGCGCGGCAGCGACAAAAGCCGTGACTGCTCCTCCTTCCTCCTGTACTTTTTGTGGTACCCCGTACTTATAGAGTATGAACGGGCATACAGAGTTGGTTCAAGTATATGCGTTTTAGATCACAGAAACTGACAATAGTTACTGCCAGAATGAAGAATAAATGCTTCTTTGCAGTATGAAAAGCATAGGAACTTCTCTTTTTGACTTATTCCAAGAGGTCTCTTTAGATAATCCCCAAGTACTGGGTATCGATGGGTCGCAATGCTGAAACTCATTACCGTTCTTGCTTGTTTTACCTACCCTACTCCACGCTCGCGTTCTCCCCCGCTCTCTTTGTGGTGTACCTCTCACTCTCCTACCATACGCTTACTATCCCTCTTGCACTACTACGACTAATATGAGCTTTGGCGGATATAGTGCTTAGCAAGAGGGCGGGGAAACGGCGGTTAAAGCGCGAGAGAGAGAGCTGCGATCGGCAAGCGAAGCGATTACAATATCGAGCGTACAATCGCGAGTGAACTTTCAACTCGGGGTCTCAGCGTTTGATACTCGTACTCGTCTGTGGGTAAGTGGAGGTACGTTTCGAAACCCGTTTCGCCAGGCCAGGCCACGGACGGAGGCGGAGGCGGAGGCTATTCTACTTTTCAATTTCGAAAGCGCGATGGAAGCGCGTTCAAATGTCAAAAAGGAAAATGAGCGCACTTGAAGTTCAACGTCAGACGTCAGAGTGACACTTGAACGATGTTAAAGCAAAGGAAAGCAAACAATGCAAATGTTTGTTGGGCTGAGCGCCAGGGTTGTCACCGTATCTCAACGTACATATGTATTTTCGTTGCTTTCTTCACTGCTATCTCTCGCACTCTTTTAACACCACGCTAATTGAAGGGGCAAATATTTAAAGTTGAGAATTGGAAGATTGAAGTTCCGCCTGCGGTCCGATACCCGTTCGAAGCAAACAAAAATCAAATTTCTGTTTGTGTGTGGGTTAGGAAAAATTAGGCTTAGCCCCATGGCCAAGGCAAGCGTTTCTTGACAGAGGTTTATTTGTTTGGTCGAGGAGAGTGACTTTAATTGGTTTGCTTAGTGCATTTTTCTTGTCTATCCATCCGTCTGTCCGACGAGAAACGGAACTGAAAAGAGGTAACATTCTGTATCGTAGTGTCCAGTCCATTCCTAGATTTCCAACCCATGCACATGACATATCCCTCCTCTGTCCAGGGCTGTGGCAATAAATGCTGTCATAAATCACCGAAAAAAAGTCAAGTAAATTTAATAAAAGTAATTTCTGCCTTTGGGCTCTGTATCTGCTTCTTTTTTCCTTTCATTTCGGACCCCGAATTTTGAACAGTGAAAGAGCTGCCAGCTCATATATTGCTTTTAATGGCTCCACCAAATGGCCCATAGCTGTGGCTGTGGCCCCCAGACGAGGTTTTAATTCGCGCAAGCAACATATTCGGCAAAACAAACTTCATTTTCGGTTATTTATGCTCGAGTGTTCTTTGAGGTATTGCCGAGTGGCACTGATCCATGCCAAAAGATCATTCAATTACTCAATCCCAACATTCTTTATCCTCCTCACTTTTTTTGCACATTTCGTTGTGGCACATAAATAATCAAGTCCGAAAGCGAAGAAGCCGCCAACAAACAGCTTAATGAGCACTCAAAAACTCACAAACAACACAAAACCTCATTGGTTACGCCGATCCACGGCTCAGAGACCTGACAAAGATGACAATTTGCTTTTGGCTTTACGGCGCTCCAAGAGCTCCAAGACCATTAACCGCATTAGAGGGGCCTGGTACCCTGGAGGGTATGCCGTACTCGACGCCAATCAATGGCCCATGTCTTGGCAATATTTCCTATAGAAATTGTAGCAGTTTTCCTTGGTTTTTTTTTTTTGCAATGACAGTTCGCCCAAGTGATAACCCAACCCCCGGAGAGCTGATAAGTGGCTATAGTCTAAAGTCAAGCGTTCGCTTGCGTGACAGATAATATTTTTTGTCAATTTTAATTAACAGAATTTGACGAAATTGAAAAATAGAAGGGAAGCGCTTGAGTAGCGTAGTCCAGGAGGGGGCAGCTTTGTCCTTAGGAAGAAACCTCTCTAAGAGTTTGGTATGATGAAAGAAAACTTTCCGAGTGGAGAATCTTTTTGGGCTTAATCACCAAAGTGACTCTCAAGAGAGAATTATTGCTTTTGGGTCAATGAAGAAAACTTTTCACGCAACTTTGCATGGTATTTTCATGCAGAAAGCAACTCTAGAAAGATGCGACTAAATAATAAAGGGATTTAACTTTTCTTAACTATTCAAAAGTATGTAGAAACGACGCAACTCTGCCAACTACAAATGTAGAATATCCACTTGCGAGGTAACTCTACTTTCCGATATCCATGCAATATTTCGCACCCCACCCTCCGTATTGTTTAACCTGGTTAGGCGTTCATCTATTTTTAACACCTGTATGCGTCACTTTCCTTCAAGGTTCGTTTGTGAGTAAACTTTGGACTTGGAAGACTGTGACTGATTAAAAGGTTTTCTGTGGCAGCAGCAATCCAACCTCTTCCGCAGCGGGCAGTTTTTGGGAAGTTTTCGGAACAAAATATTTTTGTTGGTTTATAATAAAACGCCATATGTCGTCGCGTTGAACTGGTTTCTTTTTCAGCAAAAATATAAAAATATACAAAATGTTTACTGCTCTCGCGCTCACATGTGGCGGCGGCCTTTTCGTCACATTTCGTCAAGTTGTGTGCAAAAAATACATAAAATATAAAACAGAAATAAAGAAGAAAAAAAAATCTGTATAAGACTCTCGGTGTGACAATAAAACTTAAAAAGCAGGCCAACTCAATCGGAGAGAAACACGTTCCTGAGATATCCGAGAGATCTGAGAGATGGAGACGCGAGACTGGGTCGAAAGCCGTTTGCCATTGATGCTAAATTGCATTGACAAGTGCACGAAATCAAATTTAGCATCTCCTCCACATCACAGCCACATGTCGCAGCAAGACAGGCATTGTACGGACCACTGGGCTGTAAGCGAGTCAATGAGAGCGCAATTGATCCACACAATCACCATCCACCCATTCGAACCTGCTCCAGCTCCAGCTCCACCCTTTAACAATGGGGATGCAGCGCGAGAGTGAGGCAAAAGTCAATTGCATCTTGCATTCCTTCTATAGACGACAACACCCCCCCCAAGTATTTCTCATTCAATTTGCATTATTCTTGCTCAACTCTGGGGGCAAGTCGCTCTCAGGCCCTCTAGCTTTAGCTTTTGATCTTTTTACTAGATATACATAGAATATTCTAATAGAATCTTTGGGTTCATTAAGCAAATCATAGATGTGTGGGGTCAAGTAGAGTTAAGGAATAGATTGAAGAAGCTAAGAGGGAGCTATTGTAAAAGAAAAGTGGGAAAAATACAATGTAATGTGAGATATTAACGCTCATTTTACCATGATCTATCCATAAATCTCATAGCTCCCCAACTTTCAACACTTTTCATGACAACAAGGGGAATTTTTCGTACCGATTCTTCCCCGAAAAATGCAAATTTACCACAAAAGTGGATCGCTGGTGGATCGTAAGACGTTGCCCAACCGAAGGGAAATGACTCACTAAACAAAACCGAATCATCAGTGCAAACACATGCCAATTTCAATTAACTTAAGTAACTTCTGTGCAAAATAATAAACCCAAACGCAAAGAAGTAAAGCGAGGTCCAATAACAAAGGAAAATACCCAAATTGTTGACTTTGAAATATTAAAGAACAAATAAAAAACGGAGTCTACACGGCAAAAGTATTGCCGACCTTCGCAGCAAATTTTCAAGTGAAATACGGCAAAAACGTTGCAAAATTACTTCCCCACGAGAAAT